TTCTTTTTTTCCCTTCCCCGGTGCCAGAATTCCTACTGGTGCATTCCATTCCCTTAGACTATCGCAACACCTAATCGCAAGGGATGAACTACCCGTATTGCTCAGAACGCCGCACACTGGTGGCGATGATGGTGACGACCGCTCAATTATTGCCACGGCCTCTCATTGGCTATGGTACTGCGGGAAAATTCGGGATTTAGAAGAAAGGCCATGGCCATTTCTGGGCAAAGGGAACGTCGTGCGGCCTGTACCGGATGATACCTATTCTGTATAAATGAAAAAACATACGGCAAAACGTGCCACCTACCTAAAGCTATCAGAATCCCGCAGCCGTATGGGAAAAGCCAAAACTCCGTTCGAGTCAATGTTCGTCATAGAATCTTATGCATGAAATAGTTACCTACCTACTCTAACCATCTTTCGATCTCGATCTGTTGTTCGGCTAATCTCGTGATCCTCATTGTTGTTTAATTACAATTCTGAGGGATGACGTTTGGGCCTTCGTGGAGAGACATTAGCTGTGCACATCGCCGTAGATCTGATCGTTCATGGCCTAAGTACTCTAACCCGGTAAACGAATCAATTGCTAGTTGTATTAGCGTGGCATTTACATATGTTTGATGGACTTTTCTCAAGTATTCGTTTACATTGCGTAGCGCTCTCTTTTGACGTAGTAATCTTGGGCTGGCGCGTACAGTTGCTTTGTCTGCAGATTTAATTTAGGTACATATCTTATTACATATTTTGTTAGCTGTCGTACCATACATGAACCGTTAGTCGCGTGGGATGACTATATTCTAACATGTCTGGTTAGGAAACCGGTGTGAGTGAGAGCTACGCGGTCATACTTCTTGAGACTTCTTCAATTATTCCTCGGCAACGAAGAGCTAAGCATTGAAAGCCCCGAGGGAGGATTCTTCAGCGGAGCAAAAGAGGTCATCTTCCAAAGTAAGATCGCATGATATAAAGTAAACAACTTGAGTACCTATGCCTTTTATTGGAGTTGGTTAAGGTAATAGCGATACTACCATATTCGACCCGGGATTCCAATGCTTGCCGGATGCACATATCATATGTGGTTCGCGTGTAGAGCCGGTTCTGTGCCGATATGATAGATGCGTGTTTGCAGGTATTGTGTCTACTTTTCGCGTTTGCCTGTCGACTGATCAATCATGTTGTTTATAATCCCAATGACCTCGTTTCTCAAGTATTAATATGTTTGGGCGTGGGTTTACATACTTGACCGAATATAATTTTTCTTTTCTAATTGTTCACCGATGCTCAGTGCTGTTTGCGCACTGCCTATGCATGATTATTTCTTATACTTCTTTAGTTGATCTACATGTTAGGTATTAAAGATAAATAGGAGAGGTACATAATCCACCTACCTACCTATACATACCTAGGTATGTAAGTACATAACATGTAGTCAGCCCTAGACGAAGTGGATCGGGGTGGACGCCGCAGCAAGTCATAAAGTTTATCCACGTAGTTGGAACTCGAAATGTCATATATTACCGCGGAGGTACCTACCGTGATTTCATATGCTTTTTTTTTTCTTTATTTCTTTTCTTTTTTTTTTTTCATGGGAAAAGAAAAGAATTTAAACGAGGTATCGGGTTGCCTGTGATATTTCGGTAGGTCATCTGTTAAAAAGGGGAGGTTTTCACCTAAGTTGTAATTAAGTCTTATATTCGTACGTTAGGTACTTGCTAGGTAAGCAAGATAAGAAGCATCGATTGGGAATTATAAACAGGGTATAAACACATTGAAACTGTTACAATGTAATCTAATGTCTTCTATGTAAATTTAAAGGGCGTGATATGACGGAATTATGTTCTAAGCGCTCAACTAATATCATAGTTATACCAAAATGAGATACGATAGATACACTAAAAGGACATTTTAGATCCAAGTTTCCACCGAACTACACTATATCTGATGCAAGGTACTCATATCGTACTATTACACTCGCCATTCTCCCTTTTAGGTCATCATCCTCTTAAGCAAATGGGAATTTTTTTTGTCAAACATCGACGGCATATGGCTCACTTTGTTCATCGCGAATGCTGGCCTATCGTCAACACTTTAGGTATTAAAACGATGTGAGGATAAAAGAAAAGAAAAGAAATAGAAAATAAAAGAAGCTTTAGACTGAAAACGGAATTGCGGATGCTACCCACCATTTCAGGGGAATACACACGGTTCCAGGGGCTAAAACCCCAACGCGGCTAAGCGCCAGGAACAGTAGTATGATTGGACCGCGGAAGCTTTGGTCAGAGGTTGGCGATAATGGGACTTAGTGTACACCAGCGTATCAATCACTTTTCGCAATTTGATATGGACCTATGACCATGGGGGCCCGTGTAGTTAGTTAGTGCGAGACTTCGTAATATATACTGTGTTTCTATGTACCTCCTACGGTGCTGGCATTCGAGTTCATAAGCTACCTATGTACGGATTACAATATACACGTTTGAGCGAGAGGTTGAGACGCCAATTCCTACGAACCCCTGAATTTCAGGTTGGGTCTTCCTCCTCGCGCTCGTCATCAATCAGCTTCAAGCATTTAAGCCTTACCGCGCCATTGGCTTTAAGATAGTACATGGATGATATCAGTCGATGGGAATCTTGTTTATTATGGTATAGGTATAGTAGAGAGATGGGTAGCTGAAAACTCCTAAAAAGATAAATTCCGGGTACATAGCAAAGAAGGGAGGCGTTTCGCCGAAACGTAATACATATAACAGGATAGCTGAGTGGCGGCGGCGTCTTCCTTGTCGTTCAGATGCAAGCCCAATCATCTGATCTGATCTGGCTGTTCGGTCCTCGGCGTGATTAGGTTGCGTTTTCCATGTGTGTGCACGACCCATTCTAGCGGGGAGATATGTATGTAGACGGGTGATGTGCCGTGGCTGCATTGGCCTGTCCTGATTGCTTCTTTTTCGCTTAATGAATATTCTCTCCCTATTCGGTTTAGGTAACTACTTGGACATCCGGGTTTAAATGAGGGCTACTTAAACGGACGCCATATGCAAATGTGTAGTTGTTTGAGATTAAGCCAAACGATTCCTTGAGATCTTCCCCAGCATTGAGAAGAGACCCGAACCGTAGATAGAACATGATGGGAAGTATGGGAGATCGCTGCAATCGAATAAGACCGTTGCATGACAGCTGAGCACTACTCTTTACTTTAGCTGTTGTGCAACCCTGATAAATGCCGCCGAATCTGATAAATGCAGGTATTCATAGGCCTTGTCTTTTGGTATCAAGTAGACTTATGTATGTAGGATCTAGATTACATACAAGTTTTGTATTTATTTTTCCTACATGGTAAAGCTACCTGTAAATATCCACCAATATATACATAGCAACAAGGGTCGCAAGAGCATTATGATCGTCGTGTTCTAGAAAAAGCCAATGTATATATATTAATTAATCGGGTTCTATTCAGATGATTCTTTCTTGTTGGCATTATATAGATACATGTAAGTTACAATATGTACCACGTTTAATCCTTAAAGAGTAATTGCTTCGTGTTGAACTGGAGAATAATACAAGATAGGTACGGATCTTATCGTGTAATAGTATCATGAAATTAGGATCCTAAGCTTAGCATAAGCATAATTATAATCTTTTAAACACTGTTTAATCTTTAAATATTGTTCACTTATGTTCTTCTTCAATTCAATTCTTCGCTTTTCGTTTTACCCGTGTCATCGCATGGTACTGTTAAAAATGATTGTCTACCTATGTAATCAATACCTGTGTAGTCTCTCCCGTGCGTACTATGTATGTACTTGAGGTATGCATGCATTTAGATAATCTATTAATGCTAAGAATCTAAGCTAAATCTAGTAAGACATGTGGGAAGCAAGGATATAATCGTCCAATAGGCTATCAGATAAACTATTTCGCTTTATAAATTTTCGAGACGAAAGTGACTTAGGAAGAGACAGTGCAATTTCTTAGGAAATACATAGACCAAGAATACCTAAGCTGTATACATATAGGTAGATTAGGTACCTGCACATGTACATAGCACATGTACCTAGGTACCCTTGTTGCCTGCACTTACGCCTATGCAGGGCCCTGCACCGTTATGCAGGGGAGGAGGGGCTTCTCTTCCAGGATAAGCTTCATTTTCAACGTTCTTGGCATTGATTATCCTTGTTCGTCACCCTCATTTTCCATCCACTCGGTTTTTCCCACTTTCGCATTGACTCGCCTAGGTACTCGTCACTCACTTTGTTTTTGTCTTGTCTTGTCTGATTTGGTTCTGGTCCGTGGTCCGTGGTCCGTGTTGAATCCATAGCGACCCTCGTTTACTTGTCTACTATTACCAGCCAGTCAATCTCTTTCGTTTCTTTTTTTTGCTTTCTTTGGCACTCGCTTTCCTTGTCGATTGTTCGTTCTCTGCGGCGACAATTCTCACCATAGTCACTCATTTCATCCCCAGCGACAAGGCGATACTCGAACTAATAGGCGGAACGATCGGTCGACTGGAATAATTGCAATAGGCCCCGATCATCAAAGATACTGCTCGTGGAAGATACGAAAGGGAAAAGGGGTGCTGAAGCAAAATACAGAGATTTGTTGTGACCCCCTCAGGTATTCGACGAAGAAGCAAGACAGCCGTTGCACAAGAACTTGAAATCATTTCTCATTCCAAGACCCAGAGTTCGGATCTCGCAGATTAAGCAGTCACAAAATCGGGTTCCAGCATTCGTCTGCCATCAGCCTATCCTACAGGAACCATTGGTCTGTTGTGTCCATCCGTGTGACTTTGAGTATTCTCTCCTTTGGCATCCATCGTATGCTGCGAGTCGCGGATATTCCATTCCAGGAATCCCCGCAGAATCTATTTTCGTTTCTCTCGTCCTCTTAGACCAGGTGACAACAGGATTGGCTCTTTTTCGAGAAAGAGGGACGGGGTCATCTCAGTTTGGTTGTCTGATCGTCGGCCGGCCCATGTGCATATTCATGCTTGCTTTCCTTTCGACTACTCAGGTTACTATCCAGGTTCCCCCATCAAATCTGTGAAACGCCCCGGACACGAGCCATCCCGTCTTCAGGTAAGCCCCTCCAATACCTTTTTGGAAAGCATTTTGCAACCTCTTCCAAGGAATTGTTTTTACTATTCCGGAAATCAGGATTATTGGAACATCTGCCAGTCAATTTGCATTTCACGCGGCACCTCCTGCATCTAAACTCTCAAGCACGTCTGTGTCCGCACCGACGATGCAAGCGCAAGCCCCTTAACCTCATCCCCCACACGATATCAACATCCCCAACTCATTTAACTAATTACATTTCTCCTTTATTGCAGGCAGGAATCACTTTGTGCTTCCTGAGTCGACTTTCCCGTCTTTTCGCACTACCTAAATTTAATAGGGAACCTCGAAATAAATTCAAACCTAACCAGAGTCGATCACTTTCGGCAATTTCACTTGCTTTCATTAATGGGATAAGGAGCGTGATACTATCCCAGCATCTTATATCTTAACTTATCTTCCATCATATCGAACTGGTTTCTAGTCGTAACTAAGAATTTTTCACCCGAGAACGAAGGACGAACGCCGGTATAATCCACAATGAATCGCTTCAGAACTAAGAAGAAGGTCAAGGATGACATTTCGGCGCCCAGGCCTTCGCAGGATTCTGAATCGTCTATGCCATTCCGGCCGTTTAGAAAAGGGAAAAAGGCCCAAGAACCAGAGAAGGTCGAGATCGATATTTCGGCCGCCCTACCATCCAATGATGAATTTCGTACGAGTTTGTTAATGACCGGTCTCTCAGCCCGATTCTCCATGCTACGGGAGCAGGATGATCCAAACACCAAGATCGGTAAGGCCAGCGATGACAGCGTTCTTTTCCCTAAGCGGCAGTCTAGGTTGGATTACGGTGGCTTTCGTGGTTTGGGGGATATCGCCGAGGTTGAATCGATAAGAGCAGCAGCTCCTTTCGCTAGGAAGGCCTCTTTTAATTCAGATGATGCGGACTCGTTAAAGGCTAGCAGTGTCATGGGACGTTCCAAACCGACTGAGGGTAACAACCTATTTGGCGGGCGCCAGAAGATCTACAAGATTCCGGTTGGTACTAGTTCGTCGAAAAATCTCGACGGCGGAATGAGCGGGCGAGCCTTGTATGATGACGATGTCGCCTTGTCTGCTTTTCAGCGTTGGAGGCAGGCAGAGAAGGAGCGTAAATCCTCAGAGGAAGACAGGGACGAAGATGAAGAGAGGAATTCAAGTTATGCAGATGCGGATGCCCTCCGCGCCGATTCGCCAATGCTCAGTAATTACAACCAAAAAAGAGAAACATCTTCGACAACATCATCCACCCCATCATTAGCTAGGAACTCGACCGCTGCAACATCAATAACCTCTTCTCAGCGGACTCCTTCTCTGATGGACTGGCAACCATCAACTAGCTCCACTACTGCTGTAGAAAGGAGCGTGACACGTGCCAGGAGACTATACGAGTCTGGGCTAAACAATGATCTCCATGAGCAGCAGTCTTCGGCCCTTTCCCGCATCGACACTCTAACACGACAGCGTACTTTTGGTACTCTGACGCCTGATCTGGCCCAGAATTCGCCATCGCCTACGGCATTTGGATATGTCGATCGGTTTAGCAGCGAGCGAAAGGTCCTGGCAAAGTCTAGCGCGCCGAACTTGCGATCCATGAGCCCTCCCGTCACCGCCTCTCCTACCGGTACTCCGGACCCCGGCGATCGTGTGACTAGCGCGACCGATATGCGATCAAATTTTGGAGGGGCGCCGCCGCTGAGCCCCCCAATGAGCGAGACGGAGGAAAATTCGATACTTCAGATTCACCCTAATGATCTAGGGAAAGCTACTGCACTCGGAGTCTTCCAGAAGCCCCTACAACCATATGACGAGTCTAGATATGCTCAACGGCAATTACAACGACAGCAAGGTCGGGAAACGCCCACGCAAAGATCTCGGGATGACTTGAACGTATCTTCTGTAACTAATAGATCCAGTTCATCATCATCTGGAACAAGAAGAGAATTGGAGCCCAAGGTTTATGTGGCGCCCACCGAAACCGGGTCTGCGTCGATGGAGCCTGCAACGTCATTCTTGGCCGATCCTAATGACTCGGATTATTCTCCTGCTGCGTCGCCTAAGTCAGGTGCATCTCCTCACGTCTTGTTGAGACGTCCATCGGACCGCCAACATCCAGCTCTTCGTGACTCCACGAAGTTGACAGAATCCGAGAATCAACCTATTCCCGGGGAGAATTCGTCAATGTCACCAAATTCGAAAGGTATCTCGCCTGCGGATTCACCTACTCTGGGTCCGGCTCCTGGAGCTGGTCTAAGCGGCATGGTACGGCAACACTTGCGAGGCGACAGTAATGCTTCGTCAATTTACGGCCTCGCTCCCGCTACGTCGGGTCTAGAATCTCGTTTCCCCGCGGGCCCAGAAGATGCGCAATATTTCCAAGGATCAGGAGTAAATACGAATCCATGGGAGCTGCCCGACGTGGTCCGGGATTGGACATTGGATTTAGATGTCAACGAGCCAATGCTAGACGTTCAATCTCGATCGTCTAATGTGCCTACCGCCGAAGAATTTTTGGGCAAAAGTACCAATGCAATTACCGGTGACGACCGAGACGAATTCGCCAGTCAGCTAGCAGATGGAGCACGCCGAGTACGTGAACGATTAACTACGTATGTTGAAACCGACAGTCGTTCTTCCTCGCCTCGCCGGTCGGAGGAGCCGGTAGATGTAAGGGAACAGGGATCCAATACACGGCAAAAGCAAAATGGGCTAGGTCATCTACATTCAAAGAGCAGCCGGGGATCGCTAGCTGACCGAAGCCGGGAGCCTTCTCAATCCAAAGCTATGAAAATGCTTGGTTTCGGGGCTTCAAATGGCTCTCAAACGGCAAGCTCGGCGCGGGAACATGATCCGGAGCAGCAATCAACGGAGAGTGATTCTCATGCCGGACTTCGAGCATTCAGGCAGGCGAAGCGTGAATTACAAAAGATGAAAGAAGCAGACATGGAAGTTAGACATCAAATACAGTCTCAGGATCTTGCTCTGGACACCGATTCCGCACGATCGACACCAATTAGACAACTACCCTCCGGACAGCGATCCCCCGAACGTGAACGGAGACCACCGCCTATATTTTATCAGCAGCGGACATTCAGCGAAGAGGGAAAGGAGGTACAGGCCCGAGCATCCAGAGGACAGTTAAGGAATGATCGCGATAGAAGTGGTTCGGACTCCAGCAACGACGGGCGGTCAAATGTGCAGCCCACGCGGAATCTTCAAATTAGTTCCAGTGGAACCGCGGCACGGCCTCCAATGCGCTCCCCAGGTCTCCCCGGTACGGACATCAAAGGGTCACCAATCATGCCACCACAACCGTACCCAGGGTCCAAGAAATCTAATCCTGTAGCCGCTAGCAACCTCCGCGTACAGACATCTCGCGGTTTCGAATCGAGCCAGCCCTCGCCTATCTCTCCCATGCCATCACCGTTCGGCCGTAATCCGCCGACCTCGGGTACAGTCCCTTCGCCCCGCTCGGGAGCATCCCCAAATCGCGGCTACGAGAATGCAAGTCCGACTACAAGTGATGGTACAAGACGCAAAATCAAGACTAAGGACATTTCAGATCCTACATTCGTCATGTCGACTTCCCAAGTCCCGACCGTAGCCCTGTCAGAAGCCCCACAAAATATATCTCGCAGCAACAGTCGGACTGCGCCGCCTTTGCCCCCTATTAACCCGAGACGAAGGCAAGATTTCTCCAGCACTCGAGCTGTCTTTGACAACTTGAGCCGACGCAGCGGTAGTGGCATGGAGGCAGAGGCTCTCGACCGCAAACGCCTCCGGCCGGTAGCATCTGATGCTTCAGGACTCCAATCGAGAGCTCATAACAACGCCCCCCCTAATAACGCAGATCTTCCTACATCTAGGAGAGCCGTGACCGATGGTGGCAAAAACCCTGGCATGGGATTGCCGGGTGGTATGATATAGTTGGGAGCAACATGCCGAATCTTTTCTTTAACCTAGAACCTTGTTTAATTCCAAATCAAAACGGGCCGACCCTTGAGCATTCACGAAATGTAATGAGATACCAATTCCAGATTCTTTTTTCGCTCATCACGAGGTTATGGGACGGTTGTATATTTTGTAAATTTAACTTTGTCCTGCGCATCACGCATTTGCGTTTCCTTTTATGGTGGACAGACTTACATGTTGCTTGCTTATCGGGCTGGCCTCGGAGTTGAAGCGGATACGGGGGACTTATTTACCTAATCAACAAAAGCAGGGAAAGGAGGCGTATAAAAAAAACGCAGCTTTAGTCTCGGGATATACTTGTACCGGAAGATGTTATATTATAGCAGTTATATCATAAACCATTGCTCTACACACTGCAACCAGGTGTCAGGGGAAGCTCGTATAGATGCATGATGGCATTTAGGTATACTTATTTACCTAAGTAAGGTACACTTCTAGAAGCTGCGGGGATTTTGCGGGGAATTTAACACGTGGAATCGGAATGCGGAGTAGATAAGTGCATCAGCAAACCAATAGCAAACGAATCCCGGACCAACTCCCAAGCCCCCGGAAATGGAAGACGTAATACCGCGTCCCCGAACAGTTTACACGAACTGCACGACCGAATTTATAGTGTAACCTGATTTAGGTAGTGTGTATATATGTCGTGATGATCGTCATATTCCCTCCATGTCTACGCCGAGTCTTTTATCATAAACTGCATCAACTCGATGACGCTTGAATGGGTCCTATTGCAACTCAAGCATCCTCTCAACCTCTCAACCTCTCCACGGCCGGTGATCATTTCTGGGCACTATGTTTGTAGCGGTTAAACGTCAATATCCGGTTTGGTTTCCTTCCACTATCTGGGCGTCGTTTCATGGCATTCCCCAACCTGTTGAAAATATTGACTAGAATATCGACTAGCGGTGCCTCCGCCAGCTACATGCCATGCAAAACTGTCAAGGATACTATGGCTTTCCAACGAGTCATGCCGATCTATTGTCCAGGATTCCAGGATTCCATAATTTCGTTTTTAACCCCCAACTAACCCGCCAACTGTAAATGGGTATGTGTTATCCGTCCAAGTAAACTTATTAGTGATGGCTCCCTTCATGATATTCGCAGCTCTTGGGCTGTTTTTGTCGGCCGCAAACGCGCAAAACTGCACTCCGCTTACTCCGTCGGCGCAGCTCAAGATAAGCGAAGGTTATACCGCCCAGGTTATCTTGAATGGGTTGAAAGTACCACGCAACATCATCTTTGATACGGTAGGAAACTTACTCGTGTCCGAACAAGGAGGGGCCGGTATTAGGAGGGTCGTCTTGACAGAGAGTGACGGAAACGTCTGTGCAGCTTCAAGCGCCCAGTTGATCCCCGATACATCGGTGAGAAATCTTCGGAAATCATGCGTGTAGGTAGTGTGCTCATCATATAAATATCAAGTTGAACCACGGCATCGCACTCAGTCAAGATGGAAAGACCCTCTTCGTGTCGAATATGGCAAGCGTGTACGCATATCCATATGACGCAGAAGCCGGGACTGTCGGGACCAAAAAGACGTTGATAGAGGGTATGGGAAGCGGAGGCCATATCACTAGAACACTTCTTATCCCTTCGAGCGCCCCGGACGTCCTCTTAGTCTCACGCGGTTCCGACGGGAATATTGATAATACGACTACCAGTGTTGAAGCCGGGAAAAGTATAATCAAGACGTTCAAGATTTCGGAATTACTTGCATCGGAGACCGCGACAGACTATGCATCCGGGGGTGAGGTTCTAGGCTGGGGCCTGAGAAACTCGGTCGGTGTCGGCGAGGACCCATCAACAGGTGGTATTGTATGCTGCGCAGTGCTCTTGGATTTGATCATTGTACGGGTCACTAACTGGCGTGTCAGTGGTCTGTTGAGAACTCGGCAGATAATATTGTTCGTAGCGGTGTCGACATTCACAATGAAAACCCGGCAGAGGAACTGAACTATCACGGTGTCATCAAAGACACGGAAAACTCCCTAAAGGGCCAGAATTACGGATATCCAGCTTGCTTCTCTGCTTGGCAAACTACGAATATTCCGTCGAATTCCAAAATTACCGCTGGCTCACAGTTTGGTGGCATAGCCGGCACTCCTTGTATGTGTTATTAAATATGCATTTAGGGTTAATGAATGGTAGCTGACCGTTTTATAGTCGAGCAGGTAACGGCGAGCAGCTCATTAGAAGAAGTTGACGAGTTTTGCCGCACCGAACGGCAAGGGCCGCGTCTAATCTTCCCTCCCCATACAGCCCCGTTGGATATTAAATTCAAGGAAGATGGAAGTGCTGCCTACGTTGCATTTCACGGGAGCTGGTTAGTATCCCAGTCTATCCATACACTCACCCTCGAATGCCCATTGGCTCTAACTCAATACTCCTTACAGGAACAGAAATCCTCCTGATGGATATCGGGTGGGCAAGATTGCATTCGCCAACGGCCAGCCCGTAGCAAAGGTCACAGATACTACGGCCGTGGAGTATATCCTGCAAAACGAGGACACAACTAAATGCCCGAGTGCGTGCTTTCGTCCCGTAGGTCTTGCGTTTGACAAGAAGGGTCGTCTATTTATGGCTGCCGACATGTCTGGAGAAATCTTTGTGATTACCGAGGGTTAAACCCATTGCAAAGTAAGATATAACTATGTTCATTGAACCAGAGCGTGCGAGATCTTGTGTGTATATATCGGATTTCCTGCCGTATAGATCTTAATAATGTAGGACGTTGGGATATACCTGCCTTTCCGGCGGAGTCTTCTTCGTAATGTCGTCAGTTTAACTCCAAAACAAGTGTTGAACGTACGGGAGAGGATAGTGTATACCTTATACTCGACCAACCAGCCAGCCTTTAACTGGGACGATAAATAATCGCCTCAGAATTGAGTTGGCGTTAAGATCTTGGTAACCACATGACAATATGAATTAAGGAGTGACGTGATAAATTGAAATCATTGGGGTTACTAGAATCCTGATGACTTTGTATTTTAGGATGACAATCTGCTGACGCCGAGAGTTTGCATAGACAGGCATGGTATATTCCAACGAGGCACAGACGGTGGGAAATAGACAATTTATTTCTTGAGGATTTTTACAAAAAGCTTCTCCATCAGGAAAGCCTGTCCCAGGCAACGGTCTATGGCACATAAACTACTCTACCCTTGACCTTTAACGATGCGTCGTCCCAAGTCTCTTCGATGTCCTTAAGTTGCACAGACCAGGCGGGGGTCAGCTTCCAGCTGGCTACCGTCGGAACCATCGTGCGCAGCTCCTTCATCAGCGCCGATATGCTCCAGGAACCTGCACCCGCTCCCCGGATAGTTAGGTCAAAGGACCGGAGGAGACGGGAGGGTATTTGGGGAGTATGCTGAGAAAGACCCCCGATTTGGACGTACTGTACCGGCTGCTTGGCCCGGCTTAGCGATGTAAGTAGATGCACCATCGCGTCACCATAGACGTAATCCAAGATGACATCAACGTCATGGGCTTTGGAAAAGTCAGTTTCGGCTACTGGATCTTGGAGCACGATGCAATCATCGAGGCCGTCAACGTCGGCTAAAGTCTCGCTGTTCCGCGCGATACCGATGACCTTGCCAGCCCCTAGCGCCTTCGCCGAGTGTACGGCCAAGCGACCACTAGCACTCGTCGCACCAATGATGACGGTAGTAAAGTCCTTGGGTAGATTAGTGGTACGCTGAGTGATAGCCATCCAGCTGCTCATGGCAGGATTGAGGTTCGCGGCGAATGATGCTGGATTGACATGATCAGGTAGCGGATAGACGCTGGACTTATCAACGTTGATACGTTCGGCAAACGTGCCGCCCTGCAAAGTAAAGGCATAATAGAGCTTGCCTGTGGACTCGTCTGTGCCGACACAGTCGATACCGACGGTGTGAGGGAGTTCTCTGGCTGAGTAGTGGGCTCCCGAGGCGCGGGAGCGAACTATTTGGTGAACCCCAGCAGCCAAGACGCGGAGTTGGACTTGGCTATCTGATGGTGTGGGTGGATTGTCAACCGAGACATACCGTGGACCTTGGGTCCAAGACTGAACTTGTGCTGAGTGCATATTTTATTGATTTGTTGACTTAATTCATTCCCTTCTTTTCTGGATTTTTCTTTAACCTTTTAACACAGATATTCCGGAATCATCGTATATGATATATTAGCTATATATTATGTTGTATTATATTGGTAAGCCTGGAGGATTCTGAGAGTGAAACCTGCGCGTAATTCGCCTTATCGCCGTTCATAATCCGAAAGCGGGTATAATATTATATCAGGCCACTCTCGAGACTTCTGCATCTACCTGCATATGTATGTACGGAATAGTCAGAAACGAATAGGAATATTACATGCCTAATCTATATACAAGCTACTGCGTAGCCACAGGGGCTATATGAAACGCTTTGTTGGTTGATGACCGGGTTTTGCATGTGTGCTCCTTAAAGAATCCTCTTAAGTTATACATAGGATACACTATACTCTTATTGCTCGGTATCCGTAGTTGGAGATAATGAGTTGGAGATAGCGTGTTGAAAGCTACAAATTGGGTTGTTTTTGTAACTACCTACCTAACTCTGTAAGTAGTTCTCCGATATCTCGAGAATGCTTTACTACAAATAAACAGCCGCAAGTTGACTTCTTACAGACTTTATCTCTGTTGATCTGACTTTCGAATCTGTCAAACCACCAAACTACTAAATCAATCGAATCGTGATCGGTTTTCACTAGCCTCAAGATCTTCACCTCTCCGTCTCCGCAACGGGGAAGAACGTGGGTTGCACCTAGCCCTACCGCTACCAGCTTACACGTAGTTTTAGCTGAAAATCCTCCGGTCTAGTTCAAGGCACACTCGGACCCTTCCCGGCAGCCTGAGTCGCAAACAGATAGGTACCTACCTACCTAGGTACTTAACCTAGATATCTATACATAGGTATAGATGGTCAGAGATGTAGATCTACTCCGTCCGTGCCGTTGTCTTGCGGCAACACTGTAACCGAGGATTCGATAACGACGTTTAAAGATATGAAGGTCTTCCATTTAAAGGCATTGGAGTGTGTAAAGAATGATGTATGCAGGCTATGAAAATGGGACGAGGAGGCGAGGCATAGTGCATAGTGCATAAAGGATGGGACAGAAGAGCGGAAAAGAGAAACATAGCCCCCAAAAATACATACATACATCTAAGTCAGATAAGTGCGAATCCTACGAGGAAGGAAAAGTTGGAGAACGTCATAGGCTTTAATGTTCTATTTTTTGACGTTACGCCGGGCTGCAGCCCTGCAGATGTACAGAATTGTAGGTACATACATTATGTACCATGTACCTACTACCTAACCTAGGTATGTAGGTAGGCAAACAGGACGGATAACTGGATTAGGTTCTAGGTACAATACCTTGTCAAAGAGGCGCAGCAACAGCGGGAAAGTTTCCACTAAAACAAATGTGCTAACTACATCCTGAGGTACATGTACCTAAATAAATCATAAATGTACTAGTAAATGTACTAGGTTAACAGATTCCCCTTTATCTAGAAAAGGTTTACCTGCTGCATGACCCCTAAAAGTCCCTAATGTCTAAAGTCCAGACCCAGACCAACTGCTATTCCAATTCGCCTCCGCAATTTCGACGCGAGTAACACTTATACATACAACTGTACAACACCCCGAGCTGCGGTGTCTCATCTAGCATCATCGCACATCGCATCGCAGCCCTATTAGACCGAATCCGAATCGGGGGATAACGAGTAAATACCTAACGTAATTGGAAAATAATTGTTACTTTTATTAGAAAGTATTTTAATTAAGACGAGAACAGGGGAAGAAGAACAAGAAAAGGACGAAAATACAATAAACAAAGAAAGAGGAGGGAAGAAGAAAAGGAAAAAGAAAGAATTAAAGACTGGAAAAAAAGAAGAAGAAGAAGAAAGCTTTGCGACGTGACGACGTCGGCAATAACAAGCATCATCAGCCATGTCGACAACAACACCTCGAAGTCGAAGCCCATTGACACCGGTCAGCACGCGCAGTTCATCATCCTCGGACCACGTAGCAATACAAATACACAGCTGCCCCTGCGAAAAATGCGAAATTCATCACGCCAGCTATAATAATAGTAATAATAATTCCAACGGCAACACCAGCAGTATTCACAGCAGCAATAAAGTTAGCGAGAGCAATACGACGCGCTTCGATGTTCCCTTAATAGCTATCCCGCGACTCTTCACAGCATTGCTGGGCCTAGCGACAGTAATCCGAGTGCATACGGCTATCGACGCCGGGTGGTGGCCGTGGGAGAATAAAGTATTATTCTCGCTATGCTGGTTGGCGCTATTTTGGAATCTAGCACACGGCTTGTGTAGTATCCTAGGATACGCGTACTGGCCGTCGCCGCGGCGCACAGTCGGCTTACCCCCGGTCACCCTCGCCGTTAACGGGAGGACTATCGTATCCTTCGGCGGCCCTGATGAGGATGAGGGCATCCGAAGGCGTCGCACTAAGAGGTTGCAATTTACCGTAGTTGATATCCTACTCGCCGGGCCAACGCTCGGATTTCTGATATACTCGGCGCATATCATGTATCCCTGGTGGGGATCTAGGTACGTCGGCTTGTGGCCGCCGACGATAGGGTTGATTGCTTCCCTCGTGTAAGTGTAGGCTGTGTGATTACCCGAGTACTTATGCTAACGATATGACAACAGTTCTTCTCAGTTCCTCACCGCGTTTCTCCAGCTGTTCCAATTCTTCGAGGCCAAAGTTGTTGGCGTGCAATTGACGATGCAAGATATATATGAGAAGGACGACTCCGCGGGCCGATTGCAATTATAGGACGGGTGGGCAGGCGAGACATGTGTCTATTATTCTTTTCTTTCCAAAGCAGAGCGGAGCGGAGCGAAGCAAGGCGAAGCACAACAAAAATACGATCGTTTTTTGTAATAAATATTTAGGGGCGGCATTTGGGTGTTCCGAAAGACATCAAGCAAAGTAAAGGGCGGCATTGCGCATATACTCTACCACATAGTCAGTTGGCATAGGCCTCGATGATACCACAAAGGAGATAGAAATATATCATCTCTCATTCACCGCATTGTTGGCTTACAATCTCCTTTTCACGGCGTGGGTTTTCTCTACTGATGAGCACTGGGACAGCAATTCGAAATTATACAAGTAAGATAACCATGGCATAAGATATCAAATGGTGAGTTGCTCCTTTACAGTAGCGATTTGTAGTTTCTTGACTATATCCTCTTTTGCGCAACATCAGCTTAGATGTCGTAGTTAGGCTGTTGATATTTTCTGGCCCAGCTTTAACAAACGGTGAAACGGCCAAGATAGCGCGACTAGTTAACCAGTCTAAGTGTGAAGGGCGTGCTAACGTGTTCAATTTACCTTAGGTTCGATTCTTGGGATACTTATGATTCACTGCTTTATATAATATAGGGGCGAGCCATTAAAGATGGGAAGATTGTGCTATGTCTAACTGAGCGCAGCGCTCTCTCTATTTATTTATTCATTGGTTGTTCGTCCTATCTATAGATTACCAAATCATGCTGCTAACCATATCATACCATATTAACAGCCGTCGTAGAGAAGGTCTCAGTCCTACTCTAGTTTAGTGGTCTTCCTCCCTTGAAAAATGAACGCCTTGCGTGATGCATATTTACAACATAATAGATATAAAAAAAGACGTCCATCTGCTACGGCATGAGTCCCGACGTATTCGAAAGAAAATACATATAACATGATCTCCATGCACTCATCCGTGGTTGAACGTTTTCCTCGTCCCTGAATATTTACTCCTTCTTGGCCTTCTTTTCCTTCTTCTTACCCTTAGGCACACGCGCGAGCCAGTAGACGAATAGCGCGCCAAAGATGTTGAACACAATGTATGCCCAAAGAATACCAAAGTTGCGCCATCGGTCCTCTGTGCAGTAAACATTAGCTTCGATTCTGATTCATCGATTCATTTTCCAGATGCCTAGTAAAATCCGGAAAATTTAAAGGGGGAAAATGACTTACCATAGTAGGCGTTTGCACTTTCTAAGTATTTGTTCGTCTCTAAGACGGTGCAGAAACTACAGTTCGACGTACGATCTGCGGTACCCTCTTCGATATAGCCGCCAGCCGCAAGGATGTAGTTTTGCAGGTATTGGCCACAAGTTTGGTCAGGAAGAGGGTCGAAGTGTACGTATTCATTGGCGGCACATTGCACCTTAGTATTTGCCACCGCCGTTGTTAACATGGCCGATACCAGATAGGAGAACGGACTGACGCGGTACATGAAAATCCAGAAGCGAGGGAAGGTATCGGGACTAGCAAGGACACCACAGAAGATCAAGCACAAACTGAACATCAGGTTGGCAATGTTACCACCACCCTCGGCCGTTTCAAAACCAGCGATGATCATATCGGTGAATGTCGAAGTGAATATAAGGAAGGCCCACAAGAGCAGGAACATCAAAGCACCGCGTTCGGTGGTTTGGCCGGCATCCATAGCGTTTCTGTAAAGTCCGATAGGGTAGTACCAGCAGACGAACATCAAGACAGCCATAAGCGTATTCCAAGGAAGCTCGACGATGATCTGCGACAGCATGAAGATCTTCCAGCCGTAAACTTTGGACGGACGCTCGCGCACCTCGTAAAGGGATCTTTGAATAACGAAATGGGGCATTGTCTGCTGAACAAGCTGACCGAAGATGGTCAAAATGTTGAAGATGGCGAACATCTGGTTTTGAAGACCTTGGATTGTGTTGGGAGCATTGAAGAAGACGAAGCCAATGAATAGTGCTATGAGGATACAGAGAATTGCCTTGGAGTAGATATACGACGGGGTTCGCCAGTATTGCTGGAATACACGGTATGTAACCTCCCGCAGCTGAGTACCAAAGCTGGCGGCATGCTCACGATAGGATTCCGGATCTTCGGCAGGCGTTGAGATATGCTGTGCTCCATCCTCGAGTCTTTGAAGCTCGGCCTGCACATCTTTATATTCGGGACTGTTGCGCCACGTGTCGAACCAGTCCACATTGGTCTCACTACCTGGAGCAGCACCGATGGCGTCGAGCATCCATTCCGCAGGGTTTGCATCTGCGGGGCAAGCTGGAGCGCCGTTACGTTCAAAATAGTTGGTTAGAGTCTTGGAGTTCTCTCCGATCTCACCAAAGTAGACAGTCCTTCCGCCCTTGGCAAGGAAGAGCAGACGGTCAAAACGCTGGAATAACATGGCTGAGGGTTGATGAATGGTGCAAAGAATAGCTTGTCCACTCTTAGTGAGTTTCTCAAGAAGATCCAAAATAGCCCACGAGGTTTGAGAATCAAGACCAGAGGTAGGTTCGTCGACAAATAGCAATAGAGGAGGCTTAGCAGCGAGCTCAACACCGATCGTGAGACGTTTACGCTGTTCGACGTTGAGACCCTCGCCTAAGACACCGACAACCGCATCTGCGTACTCTTCCATATCCAAAAGCTTAATCACTTCGTCAACATAGGCAAGCTTCTCAGCGCGCGGAACTTCAGCAGGCTGGCGAAGGAGAGCAGAGAAGTTAAGAGCCTCGCGGACGGTGGTAGTTGACAGGTGAAGATCTTGCTGTTGAACATAACCCGTCTTCCTTTGAAACGAATGGTCACGAGGATGACCATCAACCAACATATCGCCAGTTATAACACCCATAGTGATACGATCAGCCAAGGTATCAAGGAGGGTTGTTTTCCCAGCACCCGAGACACCCATTAGCGCGGTCAGAGTACCAGGTTTCACCCAGCCGTCGACATGATCCAGAATCCGCCTCGGTTCTCCCTTAATCTTGATATCATAGCAGACATCCTTCCAGTGGAAGACGCTAGATTGTTCCTGTAGGGCACCACCCTTCTCGGCGGGGCCGTTGGCACGGCTTGCGTTCGTTGCGATGGGACCAACACGAGGACCTTCGCCTTCCTCAACATCGCCCTTCCTGTCCTTGAATTGGGCGGGCTTGTGACCAAGTCGGAAAACCAGCACTTCACCTTTCGACTTCTTCTCGGACACGAGTTCGGCAGCGACCATATAGATGAAAAGGAAGAAAAACATGAAACCGATCAAAATACCAAAGTTCCGCCAACGGTGTGAACTATAGTATAGGAATGACGAGCTTAAATACGCGTCACCATTGACGGTTAAACGTCCAGGCAAACTACCAGGCGTACTGCAAGCATGATTGATCGCTTCGACATCAGCGTAGCCTGGGACTAGGGGATTTGGTACGTATTGATCACATGTAAATTCGCGGTTATGGAATTCGTTTACCATCAGAGTCTCGAAGGCGTATGCTAAGGGATCCAGGTAGTTAAGCCACCGGCACCAACCGAGCATGTAGTCGATAGGGATAACGAAACCGGTGAAAAGAACGAGGTCGAGAATCAACAACGCGGCCGGCACCATAGCTTGCGATAGAGTACGCGACGCCGAACCGATCGAACGGAAAATCATACTCATCGTCATGACCGTAAAGAACATGACGAGTAAGTAGAAGAAGAAAGGTCCTGGCTCACGTCTTAAGTTGGTGATGAAGTACAGAGTCAAATTGAAGACAAGAGTGTTGGCAATCTTGTAAGGCATATCGACAAGCATAGAGGCGACAGCTTCCGCCGAGGGATGATACAGAGCGTAACGATTGTGTTTTTCAACGATGGGACGTTGCGCATACAGTGTAAGAATCTAGCGACCATTAGTATTCGATAGGCCAGAAGAGAATATTTCGAAAACATACCTCCAAGGCGCTTGAGAAAGCATTCATGAGACAGGCAAAGAACAGAAGAGCGCCACGTTGATAGAAGCTCGAGGTACTCGGTTGCATATTGTAGAACACACTACCAATGATCAGGGCCATGACGAAATTACCAATGAGCGATCCGAGTGTTAGACTAGGGTCACCAGTGAGACGTTGCCAGCCACGCCATAGACACAGCATGATTTGTTGTGAGAAGGACATGGTGTACGGAGATTTGGATCGTTGACCCGCAGCCTGTTGGGCCCTCTTCGAAGCACGAAAAGCTTCCGCGTCCGGGCCGTTCAGGGGGCGTTCCTGCTTATACTGCTCGATTTCGACTTGTAAGGCTTGATACGCGGCGCTGTTCTTCCAGGCCGTGGCAAATTCGTCCGGTGTTCGCGGAGCTCTACCCTCAAATCCGGGTCGGACAACACGTTCTATCGAGCTAGTCATCGAGGTTAAAAAGTCGGGGGTCGTTTGTCGGGCGGGGCACTCGAAGCCTAGGTCGATGAAGTACTGCTTAGCCTCGTCTGCCCGACCAAAGAAGATCTGTCGACCTTCGTATAAGACAAGAGCCTTATCAAAGAAGTCGTATGCGTTTTGGGGTGCCTGGTAGATGGAGACGCAGGCAGTAGTTCCGAATAATTCCGTCTGCGTCCGGAGCGTCTTACAAAACTCCACGGCGTTGGCGCTATCCAAACCTCGGGTACTGTTATCCCAGCATTGTAACGGCGCTCGGCTAAGTGCAGCTTCGGAGATAGTGACACGCTTACGTTCGCCTCCGGATACACCACGCACATACTCGTTACCAACACGAGTGTTTACGGTATGCGAGATACCAAACATGGCCATGGTGACGTCCCTTAAGTGGTTGCAGTAGGTAGTCTTATCAACACCGGGAGGGAGGTGGCGCGGAGCACGAGCCGAGGCTGCGAACGTCAAAGTATCGCCGACGGTCAACATTGGGAAGTGAACGTCGACTTCTGCCGTGTAGATGGCTTCTCCGCGGTGATGTTTATGCATCTCCTCGGAGGTCAGTCCTTGATAGTTGAAGTACGAGCCTTCTCCGACATAGATACCGTTAGTCTCGCCGGCAATGGTCTTGAGGAACGTCGAACAACCTGAACCCGGAGGTCCAAGCACAACCAGCATCTCCCCCTTTTGAACGACGCCGTCGAAGTTACGTAGAATGTCGATTTTCGTCTGGCCTCTACCCAGGGCTTTGCGAACAAGTCCCAGCCCTTCTAACCAGATATTAGCGACGTCCTTTTGGTAATCCGTCGCGGCTCCAAAACCGTGAACGTTGAGGTTCTGGAAAGCAACACCCGCAGTCCGAAACTGCATGCCCTCGTGGTCAGCCATCCGAACGATGGCCTTGGCCCACGCGCGCGCATTGAAATGAGCCGAGTGAGGATTGGTAGGCGAATCCTCGGAGCTGTCTAGATAAGGGTTGTTCCCGGCGACTCCAGTAGCATTCGATTGGGTAGTATATCTGCGAGCGAGGTTATGTACTATAGACTCGCGTCGCTCCAGCTCGGAATCATCTTCGACCTGAGTCGCAATGCTCGAGTCTGCTGTAAGCGCCTTTTCGACATCATGACGCGATGCCGATGTCCCCTTCTCCTCCTCAATTTCTTGCTTGTGCACACTAGACATCGGAGGTACTCCTGATGTCTGGGCCGTGCGGTCGTAGTTGGTAAAAGGGCTGCCCACAAAGGACATATTGAAGATTGTGGCAGAAGTCCACCGAAACAATCACGAGTTGTCCCCTCCCCGATAATCAGATAATAGATACCTGTTTCTAGATGATTTCCTATTTGGGTAGCGATAGGGGTTGTTCAGCTATAAGATTTGTGATAATGACACGGATATAGCACAGTTTGGCGGAGATAATTATAACGGAGATAAGATTAAGGTTAAAAATAGTGAGGTTAGAAAATAAAAAGACGATCTGTCCGTCCCGTTATGAAGTATTAAACCCAGGATAGTGGAGAGGCGTCGTAGAGGAAATAAGGAGAGTAAGAAAGAGCCTCGACTATGTAGGTAGTAAGCCAACATTCGCTGGGCTGAAACTAGGAGGAGAAGAAAATCGATAAACAGGATGGAACGAGGTTTTAATATTATTCGCCTCGTTTTCGTATTTTTCCAGGGTCTTTTCAACCCGTCTTGTTCTAGCCACCTAGGTAAATACATACCGACTACCAATATACAAACGTACATGTAGTAAGAGGTTGCTACACTAAAGTTTCCATGTGGCTCCATGGGTACCAAATCTTACCGGGCTTATGCTGTAAAAGTAACTATGCTAACTACGGTAAGTAGAACCAGGGGCGATGCGGACTCTTAATGAAGTGCGAAATACCTAATAATGAATCATAATAGTGCATATAAGCGCATTTATGCAAGTTTTATGCTGCCTGACTCAATCTTAACTAGTGGGATTAAGGATGTAAGCTTAATTCTTTAGCGCTCAGTACTACTAGTGTACATCATCGAAGAGCTGTGAATACTACGTAAATCAGGTACTTTATAAGTACCCTCCTCTCCGCCGCCGTTATCCCACCGTCCCCAGACGGTCTTTAACTCGGACCCCGTCATTTGCCGGCCAACGGGGGGTTATCAACACCGCAATGCTTTAATGAGCCTTGCGAATTTGATCTAGACTTGGGTTAGGTACTTACCTATTCATACAGCTAGCTGATGTAACGTGCTTTCATACATAAATTCCTGACTACCTACCGTTTTGCGTTTTGTCACGATAGCAATTCATACCCAATGTCTCAGCCTTTTTGTGCTTATAGAGTAGGACAAGCCAATCATTATTTATCATCACCTCCGTGTTATATCATCATATCAGCTCCAAAGCTACCTGCCTATGTATACCCATTTGACGGGTATGTGCATTTAGATTATATCATGCCTGCATGTATCTTGCGTTTGATCTAGTGCAGATGGCTTTGTTTGCTTTACACTGTATCTAGGTAATTAAAAACATTAAAATACCTACTGTACCTTGGATACTTACTTGGTAATCGAATCGAACCCCCCGAAAGAAACCCAATCGACTTGATAAAAACAGGTACGATTCGATCTTATCAGCGGGTATCAAATACAAAGATGTTTGCTGTTTGGTCCCCTCGCTAAAAGAAGGAGACAAGAGACCGAACCGAGAACGCTCGGATACATATGACTTGCGCATATATATTAGAAGTGGGCTGCCAAGGGCAGGTACCTAGGTATATTTTGTAGAAGAAAATATTAAATAAATAAAATATTAAAATCTTAAGTCTCAGCCAATAAGAAGACTTTCATTCATCTCGTTTGCTCAAACTAGTAAGAAGTCCGGTGACTTTTCACCCAACCATCGATCCGACCGACGCAAGTAGGCAGGCTGCAAAACGATTTGAGAATATTAAGGAGCCGCACACCTCCCGAATGCAGATTCGGGGTCTTCAAACTCTCCGACAGCCCGCAACCATAAATCTCGACATTCTTCAACTTCCCTCCAACTCCCAGCACTCTACCTACATAATTAAAATAATAAAGATGTACAAATGCCAGAACATTCCAGATTATATACATATTATATACCTACCTAAAATAGTTCAATAAGTGTACCTAATATTAGCCAAGGCAAGTCAGAACGATATCCCATAAAATATCTACTGTATGTAGTACATAATATTATTTATCTCCGATCGATCTAGAGATTCGGTACGCTTCGGAGTCCTCATATATCCGTACCCCGAAATTGCATTACACTTATGTAGTTACTAAATGTACGGAGAGCTCATGTACAGATCCGTAAACTGGCTTTGTTAAATCGCCTGTTGAAACTGTCGTCAACGTGACGGCAATATTCGACAACACTTCCAGGAATCATGTCGTAACTGTAACTCGGGATCTTGCTAGGATGATCCAAGATTATCTCACAGCTGCACGCCCCTCACTTGGCGAGATTCACAACCAACAAAAAACCGACAATCCTATGTTCTAGTACTATATAAGGGGGGTCGAGGTGACGACTAACTTATTCCTGTGCATCGTCTGCGAATCGGGTTTGATACCTCGTAATCTGTATCTCGTACTCGGTACTCACTACCGGGTGGGTAATCTTGGTCCCAATATCATTGTGTTTGTGCATATGGTAAGGGTTGTAGCGCATCCGTGTTGTTGGGAATCCTACATCAGCCATACTATCGGGTTCTATGTCCAATCCAGCGTTGCCCCTGAATCTATGCCTCGTAGCAGCATGTTTATACGCGCCGCCAATATATTCCTTACTTTGCTGATGTGATAAAGTGTTCCATCCTTCCAAAAGCTGGTGATCATCAGTGACGAGTAATGCAGTGAGATCTAGCCAAGTAGTTGTTGATCCTAGTCCTGTTACACGCGCCGTGTTAGTTGGTCGAGTCGGTATGTGAAATCAATTCGGCGAAATCCAACTTAGTAGTCTCCTAGGAACACTGCAGATCCGAATTATTCTAGTTTTTTAGGAACTCGATAGGTCAACAAAAGTCATGAATCGAATTCCAGAGAGTTACAACGGATCAATCCATGCATAGGTTAGGTAGCTAATCTTAGGGGCCTGTCCCTATGAGGAGAATTATAGAGGAGCCACATTCATGGCTAAGGGGTGCTTTCTTACAACCATAACGTCGGGACGCATTTATTTACTTTAGGGCACTACTGAACATGGTAGTTTTAAGAGGTGGAACATAACTGAGAAGTGATAATTAGTACGTCCCTCAACCCTTATCACTCACTCAGCGGTCTTATTGTACCTAGCAAATAGGACAAGTACTTCTGCTTATGAGGACCTCAGATGAGAAGGGTTTAGATGCCCCTTTTCATTAGTGCAGATGTTTGCCTAAGATGATTAGAATCACTACTCCTTATCCGCGTTTGTAAAGTAGCAGTAGGCTAGGTGACGCGTTTCTCCTTGATATGTGGATCGATATCTAATACCCCTTTCCTCACCCATACCTATGTACATAAAATGCAGAGAGGGAAAGTATGGACATGTAGCCTCGCTAACGATATGCATTATGATAATGGTACTTGCTACTAGAATTATATCAGTCTGTCTTATCTCGAGATGGACCTACATGTTAGTAAACATTTCGAATTATAATTCGGGATCCCCTGATGTTCTGTCGGATACGAAGACTGGTCGGACTATACCAAGACCAAGAATTCCCATCACGCCAAAGGGGTGCTAACAAGATTTACTACTCCGGGCTTCACTCTACGCCGGAACACCGAACTTATTCAACTCTAACCCAAGGTAAATAGGCCTAATTTTGTACGAATTATGCCGCCTAGCTCTAGTTGGGAAAAAGTCGTAATCGTAAGGGTATCAAGATATTAATACGCATGAAACTTCTCCTAAAGATAACTTCGCTTCTCATCACCCTAGCTTTCCTATTATACTTAACGCAGAGAGCTTTATTTACATTGATAAAACGTTACAGATATATGGGAATCGCAACCTAGAACAAGAACACGTCAGTAATTGGCAAATATTTTCGAGTAATGTAGGGGAATGCTATAATCCCCGTCGTATTGGGGAACCTATATCTGCATACTTAGGTGCATGTCGGTGAAGATAACCCATAGGCTGCCGTGATGGAGTCAAACGTTGAGATAGGGGTAAAATAGAAGTTAAGGTGACACATATGAAGATGACGGATTTAATTTTACAGGAGTAAAGTTTTGTGCTTTATTTTTTGATAAGAGCGAGCCGACTTTTTATAAATGGAAGTTTGTTATGATCATAATATTTATCTTATAGGCGAGCTTGAGAAATATCTCAAAAATAAATACAACTATAAGGATAAATGTAAGTACCTACCTGGGTCCCTATACTCATGATGTTCGTCTGATTAAATCAGTCTTGCCTCTTAAGCCATTTGGAGACTGAATTACTGGTCGCTAAGTGCGATGTATGTATGCAGCTGATGGTGATATTCTAGCGAAGCTAAGCGAGCACTCTCCGAGTCTTCGTCATTGAACTTGAATAACCCAGACACGCGTCACCTGGAGGGACTCCGACTATCTCATTAGGTATCTGCCCGTTAAGCATCTATAATATTTGGATATATTCTGGGTTTTCAATTTTCCGAGCTGCAAATATAACTTAGGTAGCCGAAGGACAGAGTCATAGCTCTGATGTATTTTTAACGATGGATTTGGACGAGTCCATGATATATCGTGCTTTGTTTGACCCCCTTTGATAGGTATATAATTAATACGCCCCTCGGGATCTCGTCAATTTGGTTCCTCCGACTTAATACTTGGCGTTTTCTTAGACCGCCATCTTATATGTACCTAGGTTACATGCTAGTTATTATTATATTAAAATTGTTTAAGATCATTAGTCACATTGAGTGTTTTTTATCTCTAGTAAGTTCTAAACGATGCAGTTGTATCAATCTAGGGGATTTGGGCAATTTGCTTCACATTATTTGCTTGAAGTTATAGATATTGTTAGCTATGTTATCAGCTTTAAGATGTACGTAGATACTACCCTTTGATTGGATCTTCCGCCTTGAATAGCCGATAGCAGAGGTTCCTCCTAAGACTAATAAAATATGAGGACTTTGGCTTTTTTAAAAGCTTGGTTATGTGGTAATACAAAATAAGATTAGGTGCTCTTTAACTACAGGAAAAATTCTTGAATGTTACTACGACTTCATTTTAGATATTAGACCCAAAAGCGCCTGTTTATCAGGCTTCCCGCTTGGGGCTATTGGGACCGAATCTATTGTTGTAACGGCCACAGGAACCGCGGCAGGACTGACTTTCTCCTTGACCAACTCCCCAAGAGTACTGAGATCGGGGACACGATCCTTAACCATTTTAATAAAGGCGGCAGCGGCCTCGCCCGTATTATTGTCTGGAATACTCACGACGTACGCAGCGTCTACATCTGGGTGAGATGAAAGCGCATGCTCGATCGCGCCAACGTAGTATACACTGGCGTTAATGATAACAATTTCCCGCTCCCGTCCTGTTAGATATAAAAAGCCCCGGCTGTCGAGTAAGCCCAAATCTCGCGTCCATATCCAGCCTGTAGAGTCGAGGACGGATAACGACTCTTCGTTCGTATAACCATTGAATGCACCGAGACTACGTACCCACACATGCCCAACTGTATTAAGGGGGAGAGAAGCCCCGATATCATCTCGTATCTGAACCTGAACGCCTGTAAAGGGCCGACCGACGGCATCTATGGCATCAGGGTGCGCCACGATGTCGGCCGCAGAGAGTAGACACACTAAGCCTGTCTCCGACATACCATAGCCGTTAAATACAACGTCCCCAAGAGCCTCTATCGCAGCACGTAGTTTCTGCGCTGGCAGCGGTGAACCAGAAACAACGACGGAGCGAAGATAGCTTAAATCGAAACTTGACGTGTCCGAATTAAGATGTTCAAGAACGTGGTATAACCGCGGCACGGTGAAAAGCACGGCGGAAATGCGAAGATCGGAGAGGACGTGCGGGAACTTGAGAAGCGGCAAGGGCGTGGTAGGTATCACTGCCGTGCCGCCACTAGTGAGGCATAGCCCGAGGTGCTCAAACATGACGGTGCTAGCGAGCGTACCGAATAGAAGGAAACGCCCGTACCTCGAGGCTATCAGTTCTGTATCAGCATCCCAAGCGGAGCGTTGCCACGCCCAGGACGCGGTCAGCGCTGCGTAAGTGCACTCGACACCCTTCGGTCCACCTGTAGTCCCGCTGGTAAACAAGACTAGAGCAGTATCTTCTAGACATCCCTGTGGTGTTAGTGTACTGATATCTCCCAGTAAGTTTTCTAGTTTGACCACGGCTGGTTTTACCGGTGGTGAAGACTCGATCTCGGCACGAGTGTATTCATCAACTATAAGTAATTTCGCATCGGCAACAATGACGGGTAGTTGTACCGTACCCATCCCGGGTTTTAGACCGATAACCCGGAGGCCTAAGACGTGTGCTGCTATTTGTACAGTGAAGCCATCTGGCGTAACGCCGGTGTATATTGCGATGCCATCGCCAGGACTAAGGCTAGCTTCAGCAGCACGTAGCCCACTAACATAGCGGGCGACAAGATCCAGGATGTCGCCTCGCCCGAACACGCGCGAGCCATACTCAAAAGCTGGCACGTCTGGTGCGTCTTCAAAGGCCTTTAGGAAGGAGTGTGGGAAGGGAGATGTCATGATGCCGACTGAATCTCAGCGTGGTTCTAACTACAAAAGGAGGTAGACTTGTTGGTAAGTTGATAAGGTTGTAGATAGGGTCATAACGCATCGAAAACGGTAGTCATGTCTTACATACATAGCAGATTCTGTCACCTGCCTACCTAGGTAGGCAAATTGCAGAACAGGGAGTCCTGGTCTAGATTTACTAGTGCATATAGTTGTTGAGATTCGAAGGAACAAAGTGGCGTTTGTAAGCACTTACTTAACTTGCTCTAGGTTGGGGCTGATGATTCAGACTTTGGTTCTCTTATGACAACGGGGTTTCTAGTTGCGGGTTTCTGCAGCTGATGGAAACCAAGAGTTTTGAAACCCGACGTAGAGGCCATATTTAGCTTTGAAAATCTGGAACCATTCGATATACTCTAGGCTATCCTATCCTTCCACTCTATAGATCGTGTTGACATTCCATGTCATCATCTAATTAGCATTAGGCAGACCCCGCTTTCCTCAAGAGCTTCCTTGGAGGGTGAGCTCAAGCATACATTCGCAGAAGTCCTGCATATCTTAGCCAGCGTTACGGTTTAGGAAATGTCGTGTAAACTAACCCAATATTTAACAGCCTCTGGACGTGGGTGGAACGGAACGACAAGTCCCGGTGCTTACAAATAGATAGAATCTTGTTTAAAGCAGTAGAGGCCGACGTGAGAGCTTTAGTGAGAGTGAGGTTGATAACGAGCTGAGGAGGATTTCAAACGGTTTGTAATCCGCACCTAAAGAGGCAGCTCATGTAATTACACCGAACCGAACCAAAGTATCTGCTCCTGCATGTGAAGGTTGGCCAGAAGATCGACTGAGCAGGGAATAACTACTGATTTACGGGCGACTAATGCACAGCAGTGTGATGTCAGGCGTAGCGTAATCTGGGGACTGACAGAGGAGAGGAGCCTGTCTCACTTATTGGCCAATATGCTATCGAGTGCCCGTTGTATTACATCTGGGGAAGGAGAGCAACATGAGTTGCTCCGCATCTCATGTAAGGTATGTATATAGAGAATGCAACTCTGGCATCACGGGGACGGAGTGTAGGTCCTAAGGGCATACCTTCAGCCTAAGCCGCTTATATCCAAACTACTTGGGATCTGAGCCCTTATGTTACGCTAGACTTAACATGCCCCGAGAGGAGACCTCAAGCTAAGTATATTTGATCTTCTTAACATATCGTCTCCTATTACTAGCACTATGCGCGTGGCAGTTATTGGTGCCGGCCCTTCGGGTCTGGTAACGCTCAAGTATCTCAAGACGGCTCACCACTTCTTCCCTGGCAAGCCCGTCGAAGCTATGCTGTTTGAATCCGAGTCTGAAGTTGGCGGGACCTTCGCACAACGTGCATACGAGGACGCCGAGCTGGTCTCGTCTAAATTCCTCACATCGTTCTCCGACTTCAGGGCTCATGAGAACGACCCAGATTTCCTCTCCGCCGAGAAGTTCGTAAAATATCTTAACGACTACTGTGATAATTTCAATCTCTGGCCCGATATTAATCTTTCAACCAAGGTCGTGGCTGTCAAGAGGCGCCCCGGAGGCGGCCACATCATTTACTACCAAAAGGCAGACAATACTAATGCAGGAATTTTGACGTACGAATGCGATGCCGTCGCCGTCTGTACCGGCTTGCACGTGGTTCCTAACGTCCCAAACCTTCCTGGTATCGAGAATATCCCGGTTGTCAAGCACTCGTCCGAGTTTAAGAAGCGTGAAGAATTTGGCCGCGATAAGACCGTCGTCATCCTCGGCTCCGGTGAGACTGGCATTGACATCGCCCACCTTGCCGTAACCTCACCGACGAAGCGCGTGGTTCTCACTCACAGAGACGGTTTCCTCGGAGCACCCAAGATTATTCCTAATCCCGTGTGGTTCCCTATTTTCGGGCGTAAGGCCAAGCCTAACCGCATAGAGCTTCCTGTCGACGTTAGTTGGCAGGCGCCTCTCTTCGACTCGATGTATTTACACCCCCTGATTCGGGACACTCTCTTCACGTGGAATGTTTACGATTGGGGCGTCAAGGCAACTAACTGGCTCGTCTCTGGCACAACGGCCGGCATCGACCAATGGGTCGGAGGCATCTCCAAGGAGCGATACCATGTCTCTAAGCTCTTCTTCAACAAGGGTGCACCTAAGGCCCTGCCTTATATCAGCGCTCCCTATCGTCCGACTAACCCGGGTGTCATCGAGCGGATCCGCCGCTCCATCCTCCAAGCGCCCGTCGATAAGGTCGAAGGAGACCGCACAATCGAGCTAGCGCCGTGGCCAACGCATGTTGATGCCTCGGGAACGATCCATTTTAAGAACAACGGACGTCCCGAGTACTCTAGGATACAGGGTATCGGACCTACCAAACCTGATGTCCTAGTCTTCGCTACCGGCTACCGTCAGGAGTTTCCATTTTTCCAAAACCAGGGCCGAGAGAGCTACCCGGTACCTGGCAGCGCGGATGTCCGGTCAATCTGGAGCCGCTCAGACCCGAGCGTCGGGTTCATCGGTTTCGTACGTCCTGGATATGGTGCTATTCCCCCGCTCGCCGAGCTACAGGCTCAACTGTGGCTGTTGAACCTCATGGAACCCGAACGTACGGCTAATCTGCGTGATGACGATGACCATCACTTCCGCCTTCGATCCAACCAGAATTCACGTATCAACTACGGCGTCGATCATGAAACTTATGCCTATCAGCTGGCGCTCGATATAGGCTCGGCCCCGGCCTTTTGGGATGCCGTACGGGCTGGATGGTCTGCATCTCGGTACCAGTCTAACCTGTGGTATCGCATTCCGATCATCTGGGCAGCGGGTGCTCAGCTCAACCCCAAGTTTCGCCTCAAGGGCCCGTACTCCTGGGACGGTGCTACTCACGTCCTTGGTAACGAACTCTGGGAAACAATCTCTCGCCGCCATGGCATGTTTGGTAAGCTCTCCCTCGTTATTTTTTGTCTATTCGTTCGATGGCCCGTACTAACGTAGGGTTACGTAGGAAACTTCCTCCTAGCCGTCGTCCCGATCACCCTCCTGGGTGTATTTAGCCTGTTTCTGTATATTCTTGGGCTTGTTTTGCTGCTGGCGAAGGTGGTGACTTGGCCCGTTACCGCACCATTTCGTCGCAGCACACGTGGTGATGTTAGGCTTGAAGAGGGTCGCAAGTATACCAAGATGGAATCCTGAAGAGCTCTAACGGATAGGGGGAAATGAAATAGATACCGCTCGGTCCGGCTAATACGATATAGCAGCAAGTAATCTGTCTAACCTTCCACCTAGTAGTAAATCCGAATGACTTAATTAGTTAGTAGACAGTTAGTAGATGCCATTCTGAAGCTTATATCGGCGACATTATCTAGTTTTATATTTATATCAAGACTCTTCCATACGGGCTGATGTTAACCATAATAGGACAAGACCATGATATATATATATATGTACCTAATGTATTTAATCTCAAGATATACAATAAAATGGATGCCATGCATCAGAAACACCCCGATCACGGCAAGATCCAAGTTGTAACACTATTCGCTAGGATATTGCCGCTCCACGTCTGGCCGCTAGTGGTATTCAAGGTAACATAGACATCATTGCTGAACGTGTTCTCGACTACAACAGTACGCGTGCCGTCCGGGTTCTTCGATGCGACTGACTGCACGCCTGAGTACCCATTGTAACTGTAGCTACCAGATCCGCTTAGGATAGTTGCGCCCTTAGGGATGAACTTGGAATACTGCGCCAACATATAATAATCGACGGTGAACTCGTACGTACCTGCGTTCTGGTCTACCACGAACAGACCGCGACACGTCGCGCACCCTCCCTGGATATACGGTCCGAAGGTGCCGTCGGCCGCCTCAGTCCACGTGCCTAGAGTCCACATCAACGAACCCTCGGCCCAATTCTGTAGCGGACCAACCGTGTTCTTAGAAGACTGGTACCACGACGTCTGTGGGGAAGTCCAGCATTCCGTCATATATTGGGATTTGTTGGGGTTTGCGTTGTGAAAGTCGCTAAGAACGGTCCAGTCTAGATCACCCGCGTAGCAGTGCCACGCGGCCGCTTGAACGTATTCGCCGGCTACGTTGATCACAGTTTGCGGGTAGCTAGGCGTATCCGTATTGTGATCGTACGCCCAGATCTGCGTGTTCAAGTTGGCCGCCCGTAGAGCTGGCCCGATGTAGTCATGCGTCACTTTGGCGGCTTCGTCGGCAGGTTGATACATTGTTACGTGACCGCCTCCTTGATTATTCAAAGGCTCATTCTGAATGGTAATGGCATCAATCGTGGCACCTAGCCCTGCATACGCTTGAATATATTTCACAAAGTATTGAGCATATTGGCTGTAGTATTGCGAATCAAGCCAGTTGTTGTCGGCATTCCCGGTGAGAACCTATACAAGCCTGTGAGCGAAAGTTGGTTTGCTATCTGAGCCTACGGAGACCCTTACCCTATTCAGTTTCATCCAGCCCGGAGCACTCCACGGGCTTCCGAAAATAGTAGCGTCGGAGCGGATACCTTTTATCTCGCTCAGCAATTTCGCCATCGCCGTTCCTCTATCTCCTAAGTTGAAGTTGCTAAGGTTCGGATCCGCATTACCATTGCTATCATCGTACGTGTATGCGGGCGGTCCTGATAAGTCCGACGCGGCAATGGTATGGCGTAGCAAACCGAAGCTAGCTCCGTCTGATGTAAATAACTCTCTTAGAATCTGAGATCGTTTGTCGTCGGAGAGTGCGTCGATGACAGTGACAGTTGCGTCTGTTATAGAGCCTCCAAAACCATTGATCTTCTGCCTATACCCAGATTCCGTATCATCGATGCTCAAACTCCATGTTGACGTATCCCCGGGGCTACCCTTACCAGACACGGGAGCATCAACGACGCTTAGCTTGTATTTGAGGTCCGAAGAGGAAGCATATGCTTGAGGTGATGCCTGGCCGGCCCTAGTAGATACATATGAAGAAGAGGCGAGCACCTGCCCAGAGAGAAGAGTAAGGATCCCAAACAACATACTGTCGGCCTAAGAGACAGTTATCTCTGTCAGGTAGTCTCTAACTACTCCCATACTGAATGAGAAGCATACTCAATGAGAAGAGCATGGGAATGAGAATCTTAAGTAGATCATTCACCATTTCTGGTTCTCCTTTGCGAATCGAAACAATGAGACATCATCCCTGCGATGTGACCTGAAGGATAACTAGGCCGATCCCTTGGCGTCCTCATGTGGAGTGAGAAGCATTCCGTCCAAGTTTTTATTGTACAGCATTAAAAGCGTCAGGGATCTTTATCCAGATCTAGTAGGTGGATATCGGTCCTCCCCCCAGGTATGGTGAATGACTCGTTTATCTGGACGTCGAACAGTTAGAATTTAGAGAATCAGATTTCAATTATATGAGTGATTATATAAGTGTAATCGTAACCAGGAGATACTGTTTCTATAGCAAATCCAAAGCATACAGAGGCGCTTTGCCAGCATTGACCCTTTCTACTAGATACCTCTAGGTACCTAGCTTAAAAGTTAGGTGCGTCAAATAAAAATTGTACTATGTGATCGAACGATGCAGCTGAGAGTAATTAACCAATGGTTCAATGATGTTTAACGACTAAAAATAAATACAGTCACATTTTGAACCGGGGATGCCCATTGCAAAGTCGGCTTCCTAAGACGCTAAATCGGGGGAATTCTCAACATGTGATAAGTATTTAATATTCAGCGTACGTCTGTCTGTGTCATGACCCTCTAAACCCGAGCGGTGAGAGAATCATTTGAGTTGCACCGAATATAATGTTAAGGGTCTTGTTCTTATGGCCGGTGTAGAATGTGCCTACAACGCTGATTTGTCGGTTCGTATATCAAAGTGTACTTTCAACTCGCTTAACCATTTAGAGGGGCAATTTTATTCAAGATATCGTGTCAAAGCTACTGTCTTAGTTAGGATCACACTTATTCAGGAGTCTTTCCGTGCCGAGAGTGGAAATTGGAGGGTTTCAGGCTATAATTTTAGAACCAAGAGTTGCAAGATGTATTGGCAAGTTCTATAAATATTAATAACCTAGACAAACTTAGTCACTTCAAGGCAAATAGAACGAATCAGTTAAATAGTAGCCCCGTTTTGAATATGGTTAGTTAACCGATTTGTCATTTTGCTTTCCAGGTTTTTTTTTATTAAAAATAAAAAAAGAGAGAGTGGCCATAATTCGGGTTGCTTATGTACATCAACTAGTATGGCGAGTTCAGATACTATCAATTCTTAGCAATATCAAGATCCCCTTTTCTGTTGTTTATATCTTGCGGCAAACCTCGAATCCTCCTCACGTATATACAGTTCTGCTTCTCTATTGATTACTCTGAGTGAAAATTCTTTTCGAGGTTGAAAGAAAACGAAACCTCTCGTTTCATATTTCAAGTCTTTTACTATGTACGTCTTATCTACCTGCCTATGATATATTTATCATGACGTTTGTCTTTTCTATCGCCCCATCCTATAATGACCCAAGACTGGGCAGCTACCTTGGATAATCTAATCGTCATCGGATGTTATTTCTTTGTCTACCTAGCTAACTAAGAATTGCTAATTATGAATTCCAGTTAGGAGAATAATATCTAAGCCCTTATATTCGGACTACGCGTACCTTCAGACTTAGCAAGTTCTTACATCGTCTTAGAATTGTTACAAATTTATTCTAGGTAAGACGTAATAAGATTAAGAGGCACCTGCAACTCATATGCTTACCTCAACATAATCAAAACAAATAGAACTATGTGGCTAGCTAAAAGTCAGTTCGATGTCGTGACATTTCAAAGTGGGTCTCAGGAGCGTAGAAACGGCGGCAACGATGTCGTTTCTTGGTTTTATGAACAACTTCACATGGTTAGACGGACTTATACCTAAATATAGCTAGATACGCAAAAAGGCTTATAATGCCCATTAGCATAGTTGTTATCTTGTTCTTATAACTAACAAATCTTCTAAGCATTTCCACCGAGTCAAACCTCGTGTCCTCTGCTGTCTTTGGAATATGATATCATGTACCGATTAGTAGTACATGTGCGTATTTGAACCTATATTAAATAGGAACTTAAGGTATATAAGTGAGCATTCATATCTCATTCCGTCGTCACTCATCAACACTACCTGATAATAGCTTTAAAAATTTATCCTTCCTCTTTCACTCACTACTTGCGGATTACTCTTCCTTATCAACATCTTCCCCCGCCTCATCTTCGTCCTCGAGCCCCCAGTCTGTAAACTCTGTACCACGAATCCAGCTGAGCCCTTTCCGCACTCGGCTCTCGCGGATGGCCCGCGCGTCTCTTTCGTACACGGCGCCCGTGATAGCAAGCGCCAGCACGAATACCCACACGTCCCCTCCCTTCATGGCGCGCCACCAGCGACGCTTGACGCCCACCTTCCACAACGAATCTACGCTCGCTCGCGCGCTATATAGGAACACACCCCGGCCCTCCTTGCGTTCTACCCAAGCCCAGAGGCCTGCCAGGAATCCGCCCAAGAAAAACCGCTGGGTCGGCAGGAACGTGCGCGGAAACCAAGCCTGGAAGAAGCAGATACTAGCCCATGCTGTAGAGATGGCGCCTGTCGCGAATGTCGAAACACGGAGCACCCTTGATAACAGTCGGTTTAAGAGGTATAGCGGCGAGTTGTACAAAAGTTTGTAGCGTGGCAGCATGAGTACGGAGTAGAAGAGAAGGAAGAAACGGCCCATGCGCGGAAACGAATGCACCCAGAAGGCGAGATATGTGCGGAGGCACGATGGATCGGAAGGGTGCAGGGTAGCGCAGCTGAGAGAAGTGATGAGAGGGTGGGCTCGTGCGGTTAGAGGAGCAACCGCGGTTAGAGATGATGGTAGGGTTGGTTGGTCGGGGAATAAGGTCGGCGAGACGAACGGCCTAGAAAACTATTAGCATCTTTCGTCATCGGATAATGGTAGAGTCTTAGCATACGGCCAATTAAGCTTAGCCATCCGGGCTAAGTTGTCGGTAATCTCCCACGCATCTGGCCATCTAATGCCAACAGGGAGATTCTCCGGGGCTTTATGGAGATAGGTGGAGGTATTCTTCCAAATGAAGTCGACGAGGCCGACCGGAGAAGACTCCCGATCAAAGACGACGGCGTGTAAGAGTTGCCCGAAAGCAAAGGGCTGGAGCATCCAGCTTCCCCACCACCACGGCCGTTCTCGTTTGACGACTCCTTTCCCACCAGCTCGGGCCTTCCAGCCCCATATCATACCCTGATCCTCGCACAGATTCCAGCCGAATTCGAGAGCGCGGAAAATGGCTGCGATGGCCACTGTCACTCGCAGCTGCTGCGAGGGATATATGCCCAGAGCTATCCCGGCCAGACTGGCTCCAACTGCTGGTGCATATGGCGATGTCAACACCTGGTAGGTCTTCGGATTACGATTGCGGAATGGCGCTGCTGATGCGTCTAGTAGGTGGGCCCGCAATCGGCTTAGGAAGCGGAAGAGAAGGCGGTAGAGAAGCAAGATGGTAGATAGGGACAGCGACAGTCGAAGGCCAGAAGACTTATAGAATGGCTGTTTCTTCGGCGTGGCAGCTCTAAACACAGGTTAGCATTGGATATTGTTCGGTCCCAAACGTCTTTTTTTTTTTAATTCTTATTTTTTATATTTTTTATAGACATACCCTTTCTGTCCCTTCACCCTCGCTAATATAGTCTCGTAGGCTCTCATCCCTAATCCGGTTGCGATGAAGACGCGTAAAACATCCCTGATGGTACGCGCATTATACGTATCTCCCCTGCCAATGCCCCTGTTTGCAGTCTTCTCTTTGCCTTTACTTCTGCCCGCATCGCGGTCTATTACGTATCCCTTCCTATCGCCATCCATATACCTCTCAACGGCATTCACACTCGGTATCCTCTTCCTCAGGAGACGCGATCGCGATAGAACATATTTGTGAAGTGTCTCGTACTCGCGAGCCGAGATGGTATATCTTAATGCATTACGAAGAACGGGGTCAACTGCTGATCTGGGTTTTGGTTTTGAATTCGCTCTAGGTCGAGAAACAACGCCAGGATGATTCGGAATATCGAGAGGAGAGAGGATTGGAAGCCTAGAAGGACCAGCTTCAGATGCCATGGTGCTCGGGTACCCGTGGGCGGTATTATCGGGATATTGGTACCCAACGAGAATTCGGGTTGTAGAGTCGATTAATTATTAAGTTGCAAAAGATTGGCTACTCGGTGTTCGTGTCTATTTGCAGAATCTGCAGAAGACGTGCAGGGAACCTCTCTTCAGCTCAACGCCTGAGTCGCCGAACCATTTCAATTCAGCTGCTGCAATACGACGTCGTGCTCGCTAGGTCTGACCTCACGACAAGACTAAGACCAAGAGAATTATCAGTGGATAATAACCCCCTTGAAGAAATAATAGTGGTAGGACATGCCACAAATTGAACGATACGAACAAACATTAATAGTCGTCTTGGGGTGGTGGTGTGGTAGACTATAACAATGGAAAGTTGGAGAGGAAAACAATTATAATGAAGCATGTACTATTGTATGTATATTGCATTGCATTGCCCTTAAGTCGTCTGGCATGAAAAGCTTAACCTAAGGGAATAAGATTAATAGTACATATGTACAATACCTAGGTACATCGGCTCAGCTAGCATGTGAGCTGTCTTGGCTGTTATGGGGTAGATAGTAGCTAGATAGCTAGCCGCTTCGGGGTACCTATTTATGCTAACTAGTGGGGGATTATAAATGAAGATGGCCACTTACCTAGGTTAGGTATGTAGTGTAACATCATCATCGTCATCGTCATCGTCATCGTCGGCAATGCATAAAATATATGCATTGGTTTACTTTATTATTTACATATAACGCGACTTATGGAAGCCCGGCTCGTTATGCCTAACACATCATATAATTCGTATAATTCCTTGATATAGATTAACCTGCTAGGTATTATATGCCATGTCTACTTTTATCTAAGCCCATAAAGCCTCTTATTAGAAAACTTCATTTTAACACCAAGCTCCCTAGGCTACACCTTTGGTCTTATCGCTACCATCACTTGGTTTTATCGCTACCATCACTGGGCTCGAGCACGGCTTCTATGCCCTCAACCTTCCCTTCTCGTCCTTCTACCTCCACATGCGGCCCTTTATAGTTTTTGCGCCCATCGAATATCCACGTGACTCCGGCAATCAACAATATCACACCAAACGCTACGATGCAGTAATTCATGTTTTCGCTTGTGACGGGTAACTCGGGCGGGAAGACGAATAGTACCGTCGTCAGGATCGTCCAGCCAATGCCGATCTGTTTAATTTACCCATTCGTGTTAGTTTGCATAATTGTCATGATAGAATAAGTTATGTGAAGAATGTAACCTAGTGCCATAAAAAACTTACCAGATTAAAAATCCAGCCCAGGGCTCCCGGCAGCTTGAATGCTCGATCTTCCGGTAGCATTCTACGCCCGCGGAGTACATTAATAGACGGTGGGATGGCATACGTAACGCCGAGAGCGACGACAGAGGCCGATGTAATAGCGTTGAACGTGCTACTAGACCCGAGGAAGATACAACCGAATACCACCACCCAAGCAGCAGTCCACAGCAGCGCGTTTAGCGGAACATCTAGGCGTGGATGCACTTGCGCTAGGATTCTGCTGAACGGGAGCCCGCGATCTCTCGCGAACGCGTATGACATGCGGCTGCTTGTCGTCATCAGCGTTGTGGTCGTGAACAACATACACACGAGCGGGAACATGAGTAGGCATACGCTGCCTGCTGGGCTGCGTGTTGCGTCCATGAATATCTGGAGCAACGGTCCTGCGCTCGACTCGATCACCGCCTCAATATCGTTTACGCAGAAGAGAAGACAGCTCAGGAATATGAAGCCGGTTATCACTTAGACGCTAGGTGTTAGTTGTCACTTCTCTAGAAAGGGTTTAGGTACGTGATGTGATGTGATGTGATGTTACATACTTCCAATGCCAATACAAGCCAGCATGATACGTGGGCCGCTTACTTGCGGGTTCGGGATTTCTTCTATCATATGAGCCACGGCATCAAAGCCCGTGAGTGCGAAGGCACCCTGTAGCAGCCCCAACATCCAGGCCATACCGTCGGGCCAGCCGACCTCGTTGATGAAGTCGCCGTACACGAATTTACCGCTCTGGTATTCGGGGGATGCGCAAGCTAGGATCGTGATACTAATCACCACGAAACCCGCCAGGCTCCAGAAGAAGGCGGCCTTGGTGAATAGCGGTAGCAGACGCGTCGAGAAGGCATTGATAAAGAGCGCGATCAGCGTGAAGACGATATAAATCAGGAATTGATGCCAGGACTCGGTCTCGTAGTTTGGGTGCAACAGCGAAATTATATTTATTATAAACGTACTGCCGAGCAAGCCCCCCGTGGCCGTCAGCGCAACCCAGCCGCTGACGTTGATCCAGCCCGTCGCATAACTTATGCTGCGGCTCCAGTTCTTCCACGCAATAATAGCCGCCCAGTGATATTGCCCTCCGGCGGTCGGCCACGCGGAGAGGAATTCGGCGAGGGAGGCGGCAAGGCACAAGTTGCATACGCCGGCAACAAGAAGGCCCCAAATGACAGCGCTGGGGCCGCCGGATGGTAAGGCGAGGGTGATGGAGGCGGCGAGGGCGGTCCAGGTGTTAAGGATAGCAAAAGCTAGTCCCAACATTGAAATCATAGAGAAGTTACGCTTGAGTTCCTGCTTGTGTCCCAAGTGCGCCAGCGCAGCAGCATCATCTTGAAGGGCAATGCTATGATCAATGCTATGATTCACGCTGCCGCGCCGCCGTGGTTGCTGTTGTTTAATCTCGTCCATCGTCGTTGATATCGTAATACCATTCGTATTATTCGTATCGCTTCTTATTTCTCACTGATTCTTCTTTTTCTTTCTAACTACTCGATTAACCGAGACAAGTTATAAATAAGAGCATTCGAGTCAGCTACTTCATGTACTGCCGAAGGTAGCCGTACGGAGGCGTCGTATAAGTCAAGACTCGAGTTATGGCCGTACTAGAAGCGGTACTGTGAGCAGCATATGCTTGCTATACATATTACTCGAGCAGATGAAAATGAGAAGAAGAAAAGTAAAAGTGAATAGAGGGAATAAAAAGAGATACGATGTAGCAGATACTAATAATCTAGCTTTCCTAACCCCTGCGTTAGTCCGTAGGTAGTCTTCAGTTCCCTCTTATCAGCATCCCCATTACATTATTCTGTTTGTCCGCCCCGTTCGTCAACGCTGTGGGTCTTGGTAGGATATATTTACTAGATGTGGCCAAGTTTCGGCATGCACAATACACGCGGATAGAAAAGCTTGAACCTTGGAGCCTCTACTTTTACAAGGACGATCCATAAGCTTAACCTGCATATCTAAGCATCTAAGCAGGGGTCCTTCCCGTATTGTTATCTTACATTGGTTGAAGGATCCCTCGACCGTTAGAATGCGACGTCATGATCTAGACTAAACCGGTTTGGGGTCTTTGAGGTCCTCGAATTTCTTACATAGACTTCCCCGCGCAAGGGGACAGGGGGCAAAAAGGAATGCGCTAATATGTATGGAGAGACCGATGGGAAATGCGCTACTGTATCGACTGTTTTAATTCTAATAGTTATGTGACTAGGTTAGGCATGAGATAACTCTTAGCATTATGTGACTAATTGCCGACTAAATTACGGGCCTATAATGAAACTAGTGAGGTTGCTTACCTATCCTCTTAATTGGTACCTAATACCCATGACTCCACCTCCACTGTTTTTAGTATCGATATAAATCAAAGATTTGTTAGAAGATAAAATTATTTTACGTTATTACATTGGCTAACTGTATTTATTATATTTATTATATTTATTATATTTATTATATTTATTATATTTATTATATTTATTATATTTATTATATTTATTATATTTATTATAGAGGTATCACGAGGTTTTATTCTTCTTGCGTTGAATCTTACCTCTTTACAGATTACTAGGATGGGTGATGTTTTATTATGCTAGTTACCTAGGTAAGGTAGTTTAGACGGCCCTTTAAATTGAGAGTTAAGGATGCTACTACATTTATCTCGAAGAGTGTGCCGAACTAAGCTTATACCTTAGGTTAGGTACTTACTCTCCAAGATACCGCTGCTTGATTTATGTTGCAAAGTATAGTGCTTCTAAGATGTAATCTTCGTTGAATTTAATAAACAAAGCGTGTAATATACAGGACAAATATCAGAAGTTCATGGGTTGTCATTCCACTATTGACAGTATAGGTCTCGAATCTCATCATGTGAGTAAAAACACTTTTGGTTGATCTAAGGCTACCTGAAGACCCTATCAAGACACGGCCCGGCAACAGTACCGTTCGTCAATCCCCTCCAGCCTATCCTTAATCTGCGCTTAGCCGCGCCACAACTCTCGACACTGTTCATCGTAATCGTGTACCCTAAGTAAAAGGTCTATCAAACCTACTAAAGCAATTCTCTCGGGATAGACAAATGTGAATCCACTCGCAATCCGCAATCCGCCAAACTCCGGGGCTTATGACACCATGCTCGAACAATACTGCAGAAACATCCATCTGCAAGAGGGGGATGGGGTATTATGTGAAAAATGCCGATTTTTGCTCAACCCTATCTTTGCCGTCCTTAATCCTGTAATGTCTAACAACTTTCGCAACCCTCTCATCCGGTTACCCGCACCCGCATGGTGTCCGTGACCAAACCAACGGGGCGAAAACCGTCCCTTTTTTTCAATGAAACCTCGATATGCCGTTGAACCAGGGTGACCGGAACCGTCAGGTACGCATACAGATGCGATACCAAGTCCCCTAGCCCGTCCTTGATTTAAGTATGTCCATGAAGAAAGAGGTGGAAATCATACACAAATAAACACCAACCGCAATGCCAACGAAAGACCAAACCGAAACAGTTAATACTAGAAAGTTGTTTTGTTATGTAACGTAGGAAAAGCTTCATTCGTCGCGTACCAACCAATGCTATTGTTCACACGTGGGCTCGTCGCATAGCGTGCCAATCGGTCAGCTAAACCATGGAATCAGGGACACTATACGATTGGGGTGGAAACTGCTGCTGCGGCGCTCCCGAGACGGCAGAGAACTGAGGGACCCATCTACGTACGATCCGAGGGACTTCGGCGCCTCTTGGCTGGACGACTTCTTCTTGCCAATTTAGGACGTCCCAAGGTTCAACAATAGCGTGGCGTCGCTGTGCTGATAGCCGTTGCTGGATTCCCTGGGAATTTGGAATGACTCCCGCACGGACCGCCTCAACTGCACGCATGCGTCTGGCCTCTCTCTCGGCTACGACATCGGCAACCGCGTGGTACCGGTCTTGGGCGGTGTTCCAGCCTGAGGCACCGTCACTCTCGGAGGTCAACACAACGCGGAGTTCTTGAAAGGGTAAATTCAACAAAATGCGTGAGAGGACCGGAGAGCATTTGGCAGGGCCACGCGAAAGAGGAGCACCATCCTCAGGCAGAGCGGCCGGGAGATCGCCAAACTTAATATTAGATAGACGATTAGGCTTCGTGGTGCTACGCATATTCGTGCCTCTAGCAATGGTAGGTGCCATATTGCCCGTAGGCGAAATTGCGGTAGCAGGTGTCGCCGGGATACGGGCTAGCTTCGGTGGGTCGGCTACTGAGTGGTCAAGTTCAAAGTTCGGCGGAAACGCATTGACAAGAAAGTTCATCGTAGCTTGCAAGAGGAATCTAACATCTGGGCTGTATCCAAAATCGAATTCGACGTCCTGGTCGTTGTCGTAGTTGACATGCCGTTGAATGGTGCCCTCGAAGACGAAGCCTAGCGCCTCTTCCACAGTATCCCAAGTGATAAAATCGGCAGCCATGTGCAAACCGCACAAAAAGACATCGGGCATGTGCAGGAGATGCCCAGCGGCGGCGTAGCCCAAGTAGAACTTAAACCGATCGGCCTTACCGTCGGCAAAGTGTAGACCACTGGCCGCGTCTGCCACCATGGCAGGGTTAAGCAGCGGGAAGAGATACAGCCGCCGTACGGCACTCCACCACGCATCCGAACGTAGATATGGGTCATCTGACTCGACTGTGATGGTGTGAGAACCTAGATCCGTAGCACGAGCAGCCATGATGTGATGCTTGAGCGCTGGGCTACGAGCTAGGATGAGCTTATGGCCGGTGATCTTGACAGGGTGGTGTAGACATTTGGTGGACACCAGCTCCAAAACACAATCGGTAAGTTCGCCGCTGTCGAATTGATCTTGGAAGTACATGATGCTCTCTCTCAATCCCATATCAAAGAAGCTAGGATCGCGGCCGAAAGGCTCAAGGGGCATGAAAGGCGGAAAGTGGTGACCCGGATGCGGGTGACCGACGGGATGTTCGTGGTGAGTATGACTACCATACGGAATGCCGTTCGGGGGAGGATATGGATGGATAGCTCCGTTTTCGATGCCGTTCGGTTCACCCGAGGCATGGGACCCGTGAAGGCTATGGGGAGTCGAGATACCGAAGCGGCCAGCAGTAGGTGAAAAAGGATCAAACGGGGGGTGCGCCATGGGGGCCGGTCCCTGTCCGTACGTGTCAATGCCGGATACGGGTACTATGTCAGGTCGAAACTGGGTATTGATCGGACCGGGAAAGCCGTTACTTCCGGAGGGAGCGTGGTGATGACCATTTGGCTGCGAGCGAATATGGTTCTCGCTATCGCCAGGCACGGGCGGAGGCGGCATAAAACTGCCCGGGGGAGGCGCCGGTGATGGAGTATGAGAACCGGCAAACCCTCCAAATACGACACCCCCACCATTACTCATATGGGGATGGTGCTGGTAGTGGTGTATGTGGGGCTGTCCGCGGAGGATCGTAGGATCGGGATGCTGGTCTGTGGACGGTTGATGTTGAAGCATATGATGGAAAGGCAATTGCTGATCGGAGAGGATGGTGGGCGAGGCTGCAGATCGGGGCTGCGAGACATGTCGAGGTGCATCGTGGGCGCCTATGAGCTGTAAGAGTTTGAAGTCGGATGGAGAGGGCGTTGCTTCGAGATGTGGGTTACCTTGATTGGTATTGTCATTCGCCGAGGCGGAGACGGAAGCGGAGACAGATCCAGATCCGACAACAGATTCAGCGTCTGGCGCGAAGGTCGCAGAAGAGGGCGCATGGCGAGGACCATTGCCATTGCCATTTCCATTGCTCGTTCCGTTGACACCGTTGACGGGCAGGGGAGCATTGGAACCCTTGTCCTCGTCGTTATGCGCGCCGTTGCTGAGGCTGACCGTGTTGGTGGTATGCTCGGGCTTCTCCACATTGGAACCGTTAACTTGATTACCAGAGGCCTTATCTAACTGAGTAACCTTTGTATTGTCGGAAACGGGAACATGGTCAGCATGGTCGACCAGAGCGGCTTCGAGGGACGAAGCGGGGATGCCGTTAGACGAAGAGGCAGTTGGGACACGCTTGTTCGACTTGTTGGATTGCTTAGGAATCATAGGAAGAGGAATAGCAGGTAATACGACAGGTCGAGTCGGCGCAGCTACGGACACCGGTTTCTTCGCATGGCTAGAGACGGCCTTTCCAGGCTTAGTCTGACTCTTGTAAGGTGCCATGATGAAAGGGTAACGTCTAGATTCTTGCCAACCTTTGTCGATGATAGACTGTTATCGACAGTCGGAGGCGATTCGAAAGAGAAACCCACAAGTTAGGAGAAAATGGAGGTAGAGATTAGAAGAAGCTGGTGAGCGCAGGAGGTCCGGGGTGTGCGTGGTGGGATGAGCAGGGTGTTAGGCATTCGACCGTGGCCATAGAACCAGATCGGGAGAAGTACGACTCAGCCGGAGCTCAAAGATGTCATGAGATTTAATTACACCATACCAGAATCGATCCGGGGTCGATCCAGGGTCGATCCAAGGAGCTGGCGCAGTGAGACGGAGAGGAAGAGGGGAGATATAGAGGAGAATATGAGGGACTAGAACGGGTTCAATAGTGGAGAAAGGATAACAAGGAAGAAGGAAGAAGATGCGAAAGTGAAGGCGAAGGCGAAGCAACCGAGATGGAAAAGTGGTGCTACCAAATCGTTTGTCTGTGGTGGGAAGAAAAGGATTAGCTGGGAAACGATGAAAAAAGGACTGATTATGACTGTGTGCTGTCGATTCCTATCTTTAGGATAGGCAGGATAGGTATCTGAGATGAACGACGGATGGTGGTGGAGGAAGTTTGGGGGGCAGCTCCAGCAGCTTTAGCGGGGGGGACAAAAAGTCCGAGAATTTTTTTACTTTTTTCTTTACTGACAACTGTCGGCGGCCGTTCCTCAGATCTTTGTGGGGCCAAGTATGTAAATGGTACCTGCCTGCCCCGCGCTTATGTACAGGTTGCTCCCCTATCAGGTAAGTAGGCGTAGCACATGCGGTGACCTCATACCTTATGCAAGTACCCAATAACTTATAGGTACCTACCCCAGCTGCCCGGCTGCCCGGTAGTTCAGGCTGACATGGAAGTTCTTACCCCGAGACAGCTACCTTAAGGCTTTTTTTATCCAGTGCCCGTGCCCAGAGTACAAGTTAGGCAAGAATAAAGTGGCTTTTCGAGAGGCTCTTATTGCAAGCCACAGCTCTCTTCTAATTTTACATCATGAAATGAATTGACTTGCGTCGGCTACCAGGTAGTAAGCTTCTACCGTATCTAACTATAACATCACTTAACTATTAATTTCGCAACGGCCACTCTGCAACATCTTCCTGAATCCGAACTTCGTTCTTAACCCATATCACGCCTGCTCGCTGACTTTGTTTATTCGATAGCATATCGTCCATACTGTCACTTCGCACTTTGGTATACGCTACCGGGGGCCTCGACAGATCAGAAGCTTGCGAGTATCCCGAATCCCGAACTTGACTAGATTTGTTAAGAGTTTTGCGTTTGTATGTCGTATATCGGGGTAGCTCGTTTGTATTCCTGCTCTGGGAGTGATTTGAATAGGCACTCGCAAATCCCCTCGTCTTAAGATATAGCGGACGTAAGGTAGGAATACCGATACAAACCATAGCCACAGCAATTTCCGCACCAGCCCAAGCAAAATAAGGAACGAAGTTTACTAAGTTTTTTATTATTAGAGCATTGTAAAACATATTAACCTGACGAGTGATGCTTACGTGTATAGTTAAACACATTTAGCTTAGATAAAACTACCGTCCTGGTAATACCACAAGCTCCGGCACTATACATTAGAGTCAGCCTTGTTCCAATAAATACTACTTACTTTACTACGTAGCCAAATATTAATAGGGAAATTACGTGAAAAGTAAAATATTCGTAACCACTTACATTACTCCAAGGCTCATTCCACTTGCTAGCATAATCTTCTCTCGTCGAGACATGGGAAGAGACCAGATAAACAACCAAGGAAATATGGCGAAGAAAAAGTCGCAGATGCTAGACCAAACTGAAGCTATTGTCAGCACTTTAATCAACGGAAGAACACACAAAAGCAAGAGACCTTACCTCCAAGGCCAACACTCAGAGGCTGAATTCGTATATTCCATATCCCAGGCGTCCTCAACGGGTCCCAACTCGCTTTGATTGGCGTCGTCTGATTCCACAACATAACCACGAGAATAAATGATGTAGTAGTGGTGATGACAACGGCAGTCCAGAGTGCAATCTTATGCCACCTGACCTGAACTACTCGAAGGAGAAACAAACCCATCGATAGCTTAGCCATTGCATTTCCCGTTATAGCAAAGGTATTCGCTACGTAAGTCCAGAATATAGAATTCGCGGTATCGTCGATACTAAGTGTCCAGAAGTTCTGGCCTAGCCCGTAATGAACCGAGATTTGTATGAAAATAGCGAATAAGAGGAAGAATATCTATATTATAGGAATCGAGTTAGATTATGTACCTAGGTAGGTAACAATTAAATTTGGTGCTAAGGGGGTTTACATACGCCGGTGCATGCGTACATGTAATCCTCAGCGCCGACAAACTTGATGATTCGAATACGTGTATATAGTCGGAGAGCTACCAGAGCGAGAGAGAGAGCCGCCATCGCCCACATGGCGTACGCCAACTGATGCCCCGGATGCATCGTAAGATGGCCAGTCGGTACGATAAACGCCGGAAAGGTGAGATAAGTGAAAGAAAAAGCTGGCATGCCGGCCATTTTTAACCTGGAGACCATGTGGGCGAAGAACAGCCCGAGCCTAGTGGCCCCCGGACATCGATCGATATCGGATATGGAAACATGAATAATACTACATTGACGGCACATCAAGTTATCGGTCCAGATTGTGAACGAAGCCGGGGCATGCTCCAATTGCATTGCACAGCGGCCATATAGCGTATGCGTGACGAGGGTACGCGCCGATGATAGTAGACCGGAGAGTCCACATTTTGTATAACGAATCGATAATCATTGTATACAAATTAATCCACTTTCGCCATTATTTTCTACTGGAGTTGTTCTTTTACTTTCCGGATTGGTTGGAATATAGATGTCTCTAGCCAATCAGAATAAAACATTGTGCTAGGGTCATCCCCCCTTACGGACCGGCACCGCCAATGACTTCTCATGGCCTCGTGACGGTCAGGAACACTACAAGGATTAAGCGCCCATGATACACTAGAATTAACTAGAAGATAATAGCTACACATGATATGAAGCCGACTGTCTAAAGTACATATCTACCTAGTGACAATTCTTTTCAAGGCAAGGAAATAAGACAAAGTCTTTACGGATTAACTACCGTTTAAGCGATACGTAAGTAGATCCGTGAGAAGTCTGTACTACTTATGAGATGTTGGAATTTACCACGCCCAAATGTATAAAAATGAACTATCTATTGCCGAGTCCTGGCCTATCTTGAAGTATTAATAGTAAGAACTTCATTGGATTAGATACTTTAACTGTTTTTCCATTGCTTCTAGCATGTGAGCCGGAGTACTATTAACTCATAAAATTCCACAAGTTCGATTCCAAGTAACTAATGTACCTAATAGTTGTGGAATTTTCCAATCTACAGCTATCCAACATCCACATATAAGACCTTCAACTAAAATATATCTGCATTAACAAACTGTAAATGGTTGATAATAACGAGATTCGTAATCATAAAAATAGTAGAGCATTCATCCTAGATGTAAACTATTAGACCGTAAACCTCCAATCCCCTTGTTCAGCCATATTCTGTTTTGCAAGTACCCTCGGGCCTTGTTCGCCTTCCTCAAGCCCGTTCCGCTTAGCCTCGGTGCTACTTCTCCACCGCCACATCCGGCCGTACACTGTCTGCTCCCCTTTACCCTCAAGGATCTTGACAACTTCACGGCCGAGGATAGGCAGGAACTTGAAGCCATGGCCGCTACCCCCGGAGCAGACGGCAACTCCGGGACGCCCAGGCACGAAGTCGACCACGAATGAGTTATCGATACTGTCGGTATACCAGCAGAGTCTAGTGGATGAGATGCCCAGTGGGACTAGCTCGGGGAAGTTTATTGTTATAAATTCTATTGTGCAAAAATAATTAGCGAGATGTTATTGACCGACGTAGAACTAGGAGCTGGGCTTTGTGTAGGTCCTAACCTTTGATACCGTTAAGTGCATTGATCGGGATACGAGTCTCCTTTTGGTCGGTTACGTGTGCGGTTTTGGGAACTGATATTCGCCGTCCACCAACGTCTTGGAAGTTTGTCCACCTATTGTTAAATATATCAATATTAATTATTATACGGCTAGACAATATGAAATGGAGAATCTGACTTTGTGTTCCGCCAGCCAATCTTGAAAACGCCATTTCTGTCTCTTGGGAGACTGTATACATCCTTGCCTTGCCGAGAACCCCAAGTTATCACTGGTTGGTTCTCCGGGGCGAATCTGTCCCACAGATCGAACCGATCTTTTGGGATATGGACGTTGGCTACGGAACCGGCTGTGGTCTCTAGCAAGCCCTGGACCTCCGGAATCAAAGACGGAGTCCATCCACCGCCTATCGTATTGCATCATTGTTGGTAAGCAGACATGTTATTGTAGAAGATATATACCTTGGTTACTAAGAGAGAAATGGAAGGCTCACCGGCTACAACAACTAGATCAGCAGATAGCTCAAGGCCGTCGGCGGTAACTACCACCGGATGACCATCTTTTGTTATAATATCGGCTACTCTACCACGCATCGGATCAAGTATCATCTTGACACCGGCTTGCCTCGCAAGATGCTGCGCCCAAGAACAACTCTTATATGCATAGACGAAGCCAGCGGTAGAATCGAGGACTGCCTTGTGCGTCCCGAACCTCTCCTGGCGGCAACAGGGATCGAGCTTGTGCGCCCAGCCCCGCTCCTTTGCCCGAGCAATATCTTCATGTCGAAAAGTCTATTGTTTAGTATGGTTTATTAGGAAATATATTTTACACCCTGAACCTACCTGCCTCATCATCGCTCCTAAACTGGAACTCCCTAATACCTTCACGATGCATGTTCTCCAGCGTAGTAATTTCGAAATCGTCTAGTTCCGTCTCAGAGCTCATCCGTAGCATGCCTGAGTTCCACCAAAGTTTCCTCTCGCCTTCTCTCAGGCGCTCCGGCAGTTCGTCGGCGGGCACCACGGCAATCTCGCGGTTCCATTCGTCCCACATGCCAGCAGCCTCAGTAGCTAAGCGCTGGTATTCAATCTCTGATCCGTAGCTGAAACGGATAATCTTGTTCAGGTCAGCCGACGCCGAGTCGATGCCCGATAGTGGATCATAGGCTGCCGAGGCAGTGTCCTGCATATCAAGGACGGTTACATCTTTGTAGCCGGACCGCGCGAGCCATAATGCTGTTGAAATACCGAATACGCCTGAACCGACGATGATGATTCTAGATTCGGCACGGAGTGCTGCCATAACTTCGACATGGATACAACGGAATAAAGAACGAAGGACGGTTGTTAACAACTCTATTACTATAAATATTAGCACGCAATATAACCCCGCTATCTATATCCTACATAGTATATATATTCATCTCCACTCCTGATTATAGCTCAATCACTAGTTCCTATTCGATGGAAATATCAAGTGCTATCTCGGCGCCTTATCTCTTGAATTCGTTTTATCATTTAACTAATAAAGAGAGTTTTACAGGTGTGCACGATAGCAGGAAGTCAAAATATCAATTTGCTGGTAGACTTTTCATGTAGCATTCTCTAAACCCTAGGGTATTGGTTTACTTTTTAAATATTAGAGGCACATCGTTCTGCTCGAGCCAAATACTTTAAAGCTACACGAGAAGCATCGTATAAAATTTCTATTCTTTCGTCTATTTTAGTTTCGGGGAGGATGCTCGGACAGTAGATATCGAGTGATGCGGTGAAATTATTTACATAGGGAGGAGAATAGTAGATATTTACATTAAATACCCTCTTGTCCATACCGTCCGTGAATAATGCCGTCGAATTATAGGAAATTAATTCCAACACCGACTTGTAGTCCTTTCCGGCCTTCTTCTCCCTTCCTCATGACTAACGGCAAGCTGAAATTTAGCTCAAATCTTGCGACTGGGTGTGCATATACGAGCCCTACACCAGCGGCAATACTAGGTAGTCCGGTGCTGAGGTCTTTGGTTGCGGAAACCATGCCGTCGAATACCGTGCCGGCGCTTAGGCGCTGGTTGGTCGTCTTATCGCTATCGCCGGATCTGTTCTTCATCGCTACCAGCCTGCCGCCGTTGGCAAAAAGCTGCAGCCGGAATGGAGACTCAGGTCCGACCCGGGGTAGAGGGATAAGCATGTTTACACTCCCCGCCGCAAAAATATCACCGCCAAGAGTATCGTTGCCATCTCTAGGACCGAGACCACCTAGAGAGAAACCCCGCACGTCTGTCGGTCCTCCGAGGGTGAATCGATCGTTGATCCGACTCGGCGACGCACCGCCGAAGCTGTGCGTTAAAGGAAGAGGGTAAAGTAAACCCGCTCGGAAGCCACCGCCGATGGATACGCCAGAGGGTCCACGAATCCCGGGTATAGGGATGGGTACTGCGCCGGCAACCTCCAACTCGCTCTTGGAGAAACCGACATCTCCACCTAGGGATCCCCACCCAGCAAGCTCCGTGGCCGTCTTGACAAGGTATCCGCTTTGTGGTAACATAGGGTTATCTCTCCGTTCTCGCTGGAAAAGGTAAGATATAGCGCTCTTAGCAGAGTCTCCCGCATCGCCTCGAACAGTAGGACTCGCTTCTGCCGCAAGGCCCGTTAATTGCCTCCAGGCACCGGAGTAACCAAGCTGATGTCGATCACCATTGTCCTTCAGCCAGTGCAGCTTGATGCCTCCGCCTTTTAGAACTTCCTCATGACTCGCCCATGGCTTCTGCGTACTACTAGCGAGTCCCTCAATACTAAGGCGCAAATTGGGATTGCTTTGTATCGGGGTAGAGAATTCGGCACTGTACGCCGAACGTGTTCTCGTACCGGCAGATGCATTTAGCGACAAGGATTCGGCACCTCCGAATATGTTCCTCCATAACATAGATCCATACGCGGAGCCTTCTGTGTTGCCCAGGTCGGTACCGGTCTTGAGGAGGAGTCGAGACTTTTCGCGCACACGAAGAGAAATATCGAGGTCTGTTGGAGTGGAAGACGGGTCGAGATGGGGCGGTCGAGACAAGTGGAAGAGGATGTTGGGGTGGAAAATATCTTCATAGATGATGTTAAACCAACGCAAAAATGATGGAGGGGATAATTCAACACCGTACCGAATTTCTGCAATTTTTGGACTGCTCTACTCACTTGATCTAGCATATCGGCAAGAGTGTAGTCGGCATTGAGGCTGTCGTTTAGGAGAGGCTGAAATAGGGGAGCGAGGAATGAATCGCGCGTATGCCTGGCGCCATTGATCTCGATAGAGGAGAGGGTGACGGGAAGTGTTTGATTTTGCAATAGCTAGGAATGAATATTAGCAACCAGCAACCAGCAACCTCATAACTTCAAGGTTAACTGAATATGAGACCTATATGACGATACCTACCAATTCGATGGCCCTTTGCTCGGATTGGGCATCATGAGCATGGGCTCGTTCTGCTGCCGCTCTCTGTTCTACCGATGCAGTCTCGGACTTTAGAAGATCTTCGAAAACCTGCGAATTACGTATATCAAGTATCAGTTATTGCTGCTGGTTATACCTATAAAATAACCAAGTTTATCTCACATCATTATTCTCGGGAGGGCTTTTGCGAGCCATATTAGCTAGCAGAGATAGCCACGCGCCCGTCTGCTATGACAATATGAATACCGATATATGATGTATCTTCCTCATGCGATTTTGGAGACTGCTTGGGTTGAGAATTGTAGGTAATGGGTCGGCGCCAAAGCGCACCAAAGCTTGAAGCTCGGCACGATCCGGAAAGATTCCACCCGGACCCGTGGATGTGGATCCTGGGGATATCAATTTGTGGCACTTGAGCTCTAGTGTGGCTGAATGATGTTCTGCAGGTGCCAAGGTCCCACTAAGAGCCCTGTACATACATATGTATGTACGTAGGTACCTATCTACCTAACCTGTTCCACTTAAGAATATTATGCATTTATGTAGACTTTCTTTGTCAGCAATCCAAACCTACATTGTATGTACCTATGTATGAGGTACGTATCTAAAACCTGGACTCTTATTCACTTCCCTTCTCTTTAACAGGGGCCTTTTCTTGTCATCATTAGCCTCATCCTACTACTGTTCAATCGTAGCCCCTTCTTTTTTACTCCCCCCCATCCAGCGATCACGTCTAGTAAAGATTCCTACTTGACATATTTATTAATACCTCTCCTTCCAATAGAATCCTATTTGACCATTTACTTCCTTACTACATCGGCTGCGAAGCGACTTGCAGCCATCGTGACACATTTCCTTTCTAAGAGATACCCTCACTAGAACATATCCGATCGCATCATGGCCAGCAAGCAAGCGAGCAAACGTGTATGCCCCCGCTACCTCCCTTACTGTCATTATATGGGTATTTATCTAACCTGCATGTTGGCACTGTAGTTGACCCGTGAATATAAAAGCATATCAGAGAACCCTCCTCCGTATATTAGCGCTCATCCGTCAGAATCTAATATCCTCGAGTATGTTCTAATTATATCCTCTATATTCTTAATTGCTAACAAAAAAAAAAAGATGGCACTATATCATAACCGGCCCCGAGGATACCCCATATCATAACGGCCAGTATTGGGGAACCTTAATCTTCCCGCCTAACTACCCTTTCGCTCCGCCGGCTATTCGAATGCACACGCCCTCCGGCCGCTTCCAACCATCAACGCGGCTCTGCCTTTCCATCTCCGATTTTCACCCTCGATCTTTCAATCCAGCATGGGAAGTTTCGACGATCTTGATCGGGCTGCTGTCCTTCATGACATCAGAAGAGATGACAACGGGTTCCGTGTCGGCTACATCACACGAGCGACGAATATTTGCGGCCAGGTCTAGATGGTGGAACTCAACAGGAGGTGGCTCGCACGCCAAGAACCCGGCACAGAAAGGAAACGTGAAGGCTGGAGACGGCGGCGCAAAGTTTAGAGCAGAATGGCCCGAGCTAGACAAGGAGAACTGGCGGTGGATGACAGAGAACAACATCGACGCAGCGACTGGAGCCAGGAATGGCGGAGCGTCATGTGGACCACAGCTAGGTATCGCCGGCGGTAGTGGTGGGCAGACTCAAGCTGTCGTCGACGCCGTCGTACAACGGCGGGATGCTGGCACCAGTTGGCTTGGACGCAACAAGTTACTAATGTTTGGAGGCGTTATATTTGTTTACGTGTTAATTGCCCGTCTGCTCGGAGAAGGGGAGGGCACGTCATAATCTATGGCGGTGAACGATACTTAACTTCCTTCAACGGCTTGTGTTACTAGCCGTCGCGCAGAGCTTTCTTAGGTGCTTTATTATTAAAGCGCACTATTCGTGCCTACAGTCTTTTGGACTGGTATGCAGGTTGATTCTAGGGCGGCATAGACTGATTTCAGCAGAAGAGCACCGGCAGTACTTCATCAGAGTTGAATTGGGTGTAAAGACTTATGGCGAGAGGGGATCGAGCCTCGTAATAATGTCTCATACGTCCTCATGTAATAGATACTTATCAGCGATATTATTTCTAATATTTGCTGTGAATCGAGGAATAGATCGGTTAAGAATATTGCTGGCTATCCAGCCGATACAACCATAATTTGCAAGCGTAAAGCGATTCTCAAACTTGTGAAGCGTTGCATCCAGGTGAAGCACAGCCATGCATCGCGTTGCTATATACAAATCCTATAAAATACTTCCCAAGAAGCACCTAGTAGCCACAATAATTGATACTTCGATGCTATGAAAACAACTTCGGATACCTATGTAGGTAATTATACATCGGTGCTCCGTTCGGTCCTGCTCTTCAATGTTTGGTAGGTACCTCATACCTATGTAGGTACCTAAGGTATTCAGCTCATTCCCTCTTGCCTTTTGTTTTCTGCCTCCTGCCTACACTGTTGATCGTTAGGACTTGCCTGATTGACCGCGTCTACTCACGTCTAAACACTTATTCTCCAGGTACCTACCTAGGTACATTATTCTTTTAAGGATACCTCTTACCTATGTTAAGCATCAAACCATCTCTTTTCACCTCGTGGCTCGCGAACAACGACCAAGCAATTATCTCAACCAACTCGTCTGGTTTCGATTGGTTCAGTACCTTGTGTACCTAGTCTAGTAAGTTCTACCTAATTCGTGGTATCAACTATCCCTTCTTATATTCCCCTTGGCCCTGATGTATCGTCATCGCCTACAATTTACTGTGCATTCAACCTGCCTGCCCGCCACTAACGCTTGCGCTATAGATCTTCTCCAGCATATGCCATATTGACATATTCCTGCTATAGGCAGCCATCGATATTTATTAATCTGTGCACCGTTTTGTTGTGGTTGTACACCAGCCCGATATCTTGAGGATTTGCACCAAAATGACCTCTATCTAGGAGACTCCGCTCGACGCTACGAGCGTCGACGTGCAGTTAGATCCCTGCGATGATGTTACTAACATTTCCACTGAGATCGATTTCTCGGAAGTAACAGTCTCTCCTAGAGAAACTGATAAAATCACAACTGCCCTGGCTGCTATTGGTGATGATATCGCAGTTCTTTCTGACGGAGTCTCTGGCGACCAATTTAAGGCTGCTGACAGCTCCGCTAGCCCTGTTGTGTCCATCCAGGAATCGAATCACTCGGAGGAACAGTTGGTCATCAATTCGAGTTCCTCTAACATGACGAAATCAATCATTTACTTTGATATCCCGCTTACTACTCATCGCGGCGCCGCCGTGTGCAAGGTCTCATCAGCTCATCTTGCTCTTGCGTCTCCTGTGTGGCGCACTATGCTATACGGCAATAATGCTGTCAAGAGATCAGATGTAGAAGATTGGGTGGTCTCCATCGACGGCGAAGCGTCCGCCTTGATAACTCTCTTCCGCATTATTCATTATGAATTCAACAAGATACCGACTACAGTGTCTCTAGACATGCTATATTCTATTGCGGTCGCTGTTAGTCAATACGAGTGTGCTCATCTAGTCTATCCTTGGGCAGAGACGTGGGTCAACAGCCTCCCAGAATATGATACCACCGAAGAATATCACCGTGGCTCCCGCAAAGCCGTATTCGTTGCCTGGGCATTAGGCGACATTCCGCTCTTTCGCTACTCGGTTGAACAAATCGTTCTTAGTTCCAAGCTAATTGATAGCCAACTTGTGGACGCCGATGGAAAGTTATTGTCGGATATGGAAGATATCCATAAGGACCTATCCGGTAAATAGATACCAACCAGGATTCTATTCTTGATTGCCGGCTAACTTTTATATTCAGGATGGATCAGCACTACGAGATTAGAGATCCTTAGTCAGATTCTGGATGCTCTAAACGAACCCTTCAGACGACCTACATCTGCTGATGGATCTTGCGAGCCACCCTTCTGCAAGCTAGGTTCGCAACAGAAAGAGTGTGAAACTATGATGCTAGGGTCCATAATTCTACAACTCGTGGTTGCGAAACTATTCCCGGAACCCGAGCCACGCGTATTTACGGACAGCATAGAAACTCTGCGATCCAAAATCAACAAAATCAAGTACACGCCATACGAGGGTCGCGATTGGATGCCCCACCTATCTCATGCTGGCTGTAGCCTTGGATATAGCGAAGCGGCTGAAGAAAGCGTGGCAAATATACGAATTCCGCTCGATCATAACTTTATGAGCGATTTTTTTTACAAGAGCTCGCGTCTCGGGTGTCAAAAAGAGCCTAGGGTTTGAATATTTTCATCAGATGTACGCGACCACGTAGCTACACTAAGAAGCAGTTGAAGGAAGCGGCTGATAGTAGAAAACCAGCTCGGGATCACCTTGTTATCTTACCGGTGCGATGATATTTTTGGGGTCCTCGAGACTTGTTATGAAGAGTGACATATTGAAGGGGTGCCACTGAATTCGATTCTTAGTGTTTCCTTTGCTCTTCTCCTAATTGTCCACCAGCTTTACTTCCTCTACGATTAATAGTCCCAACGTAAGCAATATGGCCGATCACAGGAGAAGTGACGTTCGAGTCCGTTTCTCACTTATCTAAAGTTAATACATAGGTACCTAGGTGCCTTAGGTAGTTAGGTAGTTAGTAATCAATGCTCTTATATATAGAACATTCCATATCGAACTTGGTAACATGCAACCATGTTCGTATCCCCATCAAATGAAGGGTCTACCAATTAATCAACCAGTTCGTAAGAGAAGGCAACTTTCTCCGTAAATACCTTTAACGACTAAACCCCGTAATTTATAATTTATTACACAACATTCTAGCCAGCGACTCTAACCATTAACAGATAACCATTTAATCCGTTCTATGTGGATATCACGGGTTTAATAAAGTAATCCGAATAGCCTCCTATCCCAGCTTTAGTTAAACTCATCCTCTAAATTTATACCTGTCGCCTCAGTAACAGGTAGTTACTCTATACGAGGTCTAGCAAAGGTATCGGACTTGCCGAGTCATTGGAACCGTATAATTGGGACTTCTTTTCAAAGTCTTACCTAGCCAGACAATAATTTGAGTCAAGGGACAGAGTTTGTATTAAGGGGCTAATTTAGACCCTGTTACGTCGTACAGTAAACGGCCAATTCAAGCAAAAGTGCAAATATCTCTAAATTAACAGACTTTTCAGATTTTTTTTTACTTGACATGTTTATTGGAAACGCTGACTTCGCCGAAGGGAGTTTTAGAGCAACGAATGGAACTAGTTGGCATTATCGTGATAACGACTATTTATATATATAAATGACAGTAACGTGGTGATTTCCCCCTTTATCTTAACTGCTGTTAGTGAGAGCCCACTAATAGGTATACGAAATATGGCCTCGATTTCCAACTTACGCAAGAGCGTATTCTTGGGTGTGCTTTGGAGGCACCATATAGGTATGTTCCTATATACAAAATATAAGTGTAATGACTAGATGATATGTAAATGATAGAACTGTGTACCTGAATTCACGGTGGCTCCTTGGAGCATCTGGATCCTCAAATATAATTGGTCGGCATAACACAGGGCCGAACCATACCAAACTCTCAAGAGCCCGTCGGCTAGTTGGTATGTACTGGTCTACACCTCCATCCCCGCAGATCCGGAATGGTTGATAATCACCTTATAAAAACGTCGTTTCCCTGCCTTCCACCCTTCTACTAGGACGACGTAAACTACAACACATGCTGCCACGATGGCCCACTCTATGCCAATACCTTGGTGTTTGAATACCCTCTTATCGATGACTGGTAGGTATATGACAGGAAAAGTGATAATGAAACCGGCGAGAACGGCTCCGAACAAGAACTTATTCCCCCAGACCGTCTTAAAGATCGAAGAGGGGCCAGTGTAGGACTCAGGATACATATTAAACAGCGAACGGGTGAAATGCTTGACTTCCCAAGCTGTAACGAGTAGTAGAAAACTAAGGGTAGCAAAGGTTGTGGCGCGGGCCCTGTAAACGTAATAGCACGAGGAATTGTACTCTGCATTACAATCGAAGCCTAGTGCCCCGGAGTGTGGCAGCTTGTAATAATTGGCTTCGATGGGGGTGTAGATGACGGTAGTAAAAGATGCAATGCATAGTGAGCCCATGAAGAAACCATACGCCACCTTATCAATGATGATCTCTTTTGTAAATATACCAATGCGGTGATCATGTGGTGGCTTCAGCATAATGTCTGGCTGGGCTTCCTCGAGACCTAGGCCAAGGGCCAAGAAGGACGACGTGATCAAATTAGCCCACAGTATCTCGATAGGAGATAGTGGGAAGACCGATTTATTGTTCTGGTCTTTGAATGCCAGACCAATAAGTAAGAGGATAACCTGGGCAATGTTGGAGACCAGCAGGTGTAGTAGAAACTAGGTAGTTCATGTTCATCAGCAGTTGTTTGTAAATTATTAGTAGCATGTAATTCTCTACCTTCTGGATGTTGTCAAATAGGCGTCTGCCTTCTTCGACGGCCGTCACAATCGAGGCAAAATTATCATCGGTGAGAACCATGTCTGCAGCCTCCTTGGCCACATCGCTACCATTTAATCCCATGGCAATACCAACATCTGCCTTTTTCAAAGCAGGCGAGTCGTTGACCCCATCGCCAGTCATGGCACAAAATGCGCCACGACGATGTATCGCTTCGACCACGCGTACCTTTGTCGACGGAGTACAGCGTGCGAGTACTACTGGGAGTTTCTCTAGCTGGTCAATCTGGTCGTCGGTTAAGGCGTCGAAAGTAGTAGCAGGCATGATAGCGTCTGATAGACCAGCGTTATGATTGTCGCTAGTGAGAATTCCTACTTCGTATGCAATAGCCGTCGCCGTCTTGATGTGATCTCCGGTAAGCATGTGAACAGATATTCCGGCGATCTTGCACTTCCTAACCGCATCGGCAGTCTCTGAGCGGGGAGGATCGTAGAGGCCGGCAAGTCCCAAAGGTTCTAACTGGTCTTCGGCAGCTTCGCGCGAATCCCCAACGTCGGCGATATTTTGAACGACCTTGTGAGCAATGCAGAGGACTCTAAGACCTTCGGCAGCAAGCGATTCAGCCTTGGTGGTTAACTCAGCCTTAACAGAATCGGATGCGTCTAATAATGGCAACATTACTTCTAATGCCCCTTTAGTATACACATCCACCGAGCTAGAGCTCGTTGATGAGTATATGACAGTCATACGTTTGCAGGAAGAGTCGAACGGATGCTCTGAGAGTATGTGCATGCCATCTGCCTGAGAAACGGTGGATTTGCCCATACCAAACCGCATAGCGAAAACCTGGAGAGCGATCTCAGTAGGCTCACCGACCGCAACCCAATTCGGTATTGTAGGAGTCGAAGTAGTTAGGGTTTCAGCTGCGTCGTCGTTAGGCGCCGGCTTGCTATTCGTAACGGTGGAATTATTACACAAGGAGATGCATCGCATAAACTTTTTCGCGGCAGCGGACAAGTGAGATGTAGATTTGAGCTCATCTTGCGGCTCTAACTCCTGGCTATTCCAAGTGACCATTCCACTGGAAGGATCAAAAGGATGAGTACAGGTTTCAACGGTAGCTGTAGACCCATCGCAGAGCCAGATCTTTCTAGTGATCATCTTGCCTTGAGTCAAAGTGCCTGTCTTGTCGGAACAAATGTTGGTCACTCCTCCAACAGCCTCCAGGGCGGCAAGCTTTCTCACAATCACGTTGCCCTTAGCCATCGCCTTCGTTCCGACAGCCATACTAATCGTCAAGACGGCAATAAGAGATTCCGGGATAACAGCAACTCCAACACAGATACCGTAGATGAGAACCTCGTCATCAATATTCCAGACGCTAGCAGAAAAGACGATGACGGCGAGAAAGATTGCTAGGGCAAAAAGGAGCAAGGCAAACTTGCTCAGCTTAACCTGAAGGGGTGTACCGTCGAGCCCTAGGATGCTGCGCCCGCTGGCCTTTGCTCGCTTCCAAAAAGCATTTAATCTGGATGTGTTACCATTCAAACTGGGGTCAGCTCGGAGTAATTGAGCAATATTTCCCACTTCAGTGTCCATTCCAGTAGCAGCCACGATGCCTTTTCCTCGACCGCGCGTGATGGTGCTGGCGCAATATAACATGTTCACGCGGTCACCAAGAGGAACGTCAACATCGTCTAGGACAACTCCTGGATGCTTGCTGATCGGTAAAGACTCCCCTGTCAGTAACGCCTCATCAGCAGATAAGTTTAGTCCGTCGACAAATCGGATATCTGCCGGGACAATGTCGCCAACGTTGAGTATTACAACATCGCCTCTAACAAGCATTTCCGCCTTGATCGTTGTGATCTGTCCCGAGCGGATTACCTTGCATGTCGGCGCGGATAACGCGTAGAGCGACTGGATAGTCTGCTCAGCACGATAATCCTGGATAAATCTATTAAATATTAGTATAGAAAGCGACGTGTTTCACTTGCGACGGAAGATCTTAAAGATCGGGGATTTATAACGTACCCCACAATGATATTAAGTGAGATAACAGCAGCAATAACGCCGCCTTCGATGAAGTCGTTGATGGCAAATGAGAGGGCCATAACAAGAATGAGAACCATTGTCAAGCTGTTAGATATCTGCCTCAAGAGAATCTTCCACACGGATAGCCCTTGAGCGCCCTCCATCTTATTTGGCCCACAGCGCTCCAGGCGACGAGCTGCTTCACCGTACTCGAGGCCATTCTCAACGTCAGTTTCGAGAAGTTGTTCTAGATCATTAATCGCTAGCGTATGGGGCTTAAGACGGTGCTCTTCAATGGAAGAAGAAACTGTCTTTTCCAGAGACTTTTGGTCTGGAAGCACAGCAGCTTCCTGGTTCCTGCGGCCGAGCGAAGTTTCTGGCGTGGCATTGATATGGCCGCATATAGGGGGCTCAGTCGACTCTTCGACAGCAGATTGGTCTTCTACACCCATTCACGTGTCGTCGGTAGTAGCTAGTATGATAGTCTAAACGAGATAATCCACAAAATGGATCTGAGAAATTGCGGCCGTAACCAGATCGTGGGTAGGACGAGGATAGATATAGTACGACCTGCCAACCCTGCCGAGCTCATCCATTACTATGTAGTCTGGCGCCCAGCGTCCGCCAAGGGCTCATATCGACGCGAGTGAGGCGAATTGCGCATAGTTTGCGTGTCGGAGGCGCTGATTGGGCCTTGCCAACGAGGAGAATTACTGACGATTGGACGCCAAGCAAGCGGTGCGGAGTGGTAGTTGACGAAATTATGAAAATATCTAACAGGTTGGAAAATACCTGATGTAATTGGTAGCAAGGAATAGGAATTAGTACGTCTATGAATGCTTTACTGATAAGGCGTAGTAATTAGGAGATCAGGCGAATGATAGAAGATGATAGGGGGCTAGAAGCGGTCTTGGAAGCTTCGTAGCTCTAGAACGCCTCTGCATGACCTTGCGTGACCTTGACGTCTATGTATGTATTTCTCGGCAGGCAGATAGAATGAGGCGACACTTTACTCGTTACGGAAGGCCAAGGGACCAAGACATCATGTACTACATACGTATAGTGCTGCCTCGGTTAGTCGTAAAGCACAATAGCAAGGGCTTCGAATAGGATTGTTTCTGTTTTGTGATATAATATTAATACGTGAATAGACTTTGTCAGAAAAGATAAAAAATATAACTATAACTTTTAGGCTGAATACTTATACATGCACCTAAGTCGAATCTCCCCGAATGAGCTACATCCCTCCATGGGTAAGGTAAAGAAAAACCGGTATGATCGTTCTAACATCGCCCGGACATTTCGGTATTTAGGTCACTCCACTCCCCCCATTTCCCCCATTTTGCTCCGTATGTATTATACGCGTCCGCTTCAGGCGATACTTGGTCTTAACGAGATATGCTGCCTTGACGATTCCGAACACAAGTAAAACTTGGTCATGTTAAGATTCTCTCCTGCTCTGGTCTTGGATCTTGGAGATCCCTGCAATGATTTTCGAGCACCATGTATCTCGTGATCGATGCCGTGCTTGTTGGGAGTGCTAGGCCAAGCCCTTCAACAATTCCACGATTATTCTTACTGGCTCACCCTAATGGCGGTGAGGATATACAAGTGTATATTAAACACTTGTATACCAGTTTAAAATCTTATTGGGCATTCCGAGTGCCAAATCAAACTAGTTATACTTGGGCGTCAAATACCTTCTTCCCACCGAACCAGGTTTGTAAAATTCTTGCCTCTAGCAGCTTACTTGCATCCCATTCCATATCCACCACCACAAAGTCCGCCATTCGTCCGGCCTCCAGTCTACCGGTATACTGGTCTGCGAAGCAGCTGTATGCCGAACCCTCCGTACCCGCTGCAATTGCTGCTGCCAGGTCTAACGCGAAATGCGGGTTAACCCGGTCCGTTAAACCTGGCTCTCTGGCTGAGCGCCGCGTTGTTGCCGTGTACGCATTTTTCAGCGGTGCGTGAGGTGCGGTGGGAGAATCGGATCCTAACGCTAGTACGGCACCCCCGTCGGCGAACTCTTTATATGCGAATGCGCGTTCGTACCGGGATGGGCCGAGGAGTGACGGCCACGCTCGGAGGATCGCCGGATCGGCGTGGACCGGCTGGATGGAAGCCGTAATACCCAACTTTCCTAACCTCTTAGCGTCTTCAGGCGACGCAAGCTCGAGATGCTCGATCCGATGCCTACGGCCGGGTGTAGCATTTTGCTCGAGAGCGTCAATGGCAACGCTTATGGTCTTATCGCCAATCGCGTGCAAGGCACACTGCAAGCCTGCCCTATCCGCTTTTCTGACGACAGGCCCGAGCTCTGCAAGCGACCAGATGGGCTCGCACGATATTCCATTTGAGGCATAGGGTTCTGAGAGTCCGGCGGTGCAACCGTCTATAATACCGTCCCCGATGACCTTAATACCTACGATACGACAATCTGGACTGTTGTCGGCGTTAAACTGGCGGTTGAGCTCGATTGCGCGGTCAACCTGAGCGAGGTTCTCAGCCTCTGTCTTCCGAGGAGTGATGAGCCAGTGAATAGCTATCCTAATTGGTAACCTCTCTCTCGCGCGTAGTATCTGTAAAGCTTCCCACGCATTTTCATCCATCGCCATCTCCACGAGTCCAGTGTAACCAGACGCATTATACGCCCCGACAGCCCCTTTTAATGCTGATAGCTTCTCCTCCATCGGCGCGACTTTTGCGATATGCGGCCAGACAATTGTGACGGCTGCTGCCTCCGATAAGAGTCCTGATGCTTTGCCATTCTCGCCGCGGTGAATTTTCCCACCTTCTGGGTCGGGCATGTCTTGCACACCCATCTCGCTCAGGGCTGCACTGTTACACCATGTCGAGTGTAGATCCTTGGAATCGATGAAGCTATTTAATAAAGTGGGTTAATAATTACTTCTTTTTGAGAGCGAGCCTAGGAATCTCTCGGGCATAGGCAATAACTCCGAGGTAAGTCGAAAGGGGGAAAGAGTCTCTTAACATCACATACATAGGCCTCGGATCTAGATCGTCTATCATGCTAGCTAATGCCTCACCATTAGTCATGGAGTGCATCCACCCTTTGCACATTATACGAGCCGCGGACGGATGCGTAGCAGCGAACTCCTTAATCGTCCGTCGGATGTCTTGTAGATCATTGCATGCCTCCAAACCCGCCTTTTGTAGAGACTGCCCTAGCATTAGGAAGTGCATATGCCCGTCGATAAACCCCGGTAAGACTATACGACCATTAACACTGTGTTTGGCTATCCCGGTAGCCTCGGCCGCCAAAACTTTGTCATCATTTCTGCTGCCGACGTGAGTGATTTTGCCGGACTCGTCAACGAGCATGGCATCTACGAAGGAATAGCCGTCACTCTTGGACCCTGACTGAAAAAAACGGCCGCTGTGAAATAAAGTAGCCATAGTTTCGATTTCCTACAACAAACGAATAGCTGGGCTCTCCGTATATGCCAAGATATCTAGACAGTTGACTATTCGTGTAATTGTCAACCAAATTGAAGTTGTATGTTATATATTATAAGAATCCCCCACTCCGGCTCGAGGCCGCGATCGGCGATCCATGGAGAAGCTCAAGACTTCTTTATCCGCTCTAGTATGAAATAATCTAGTGTGACTTCAAATATATCCAAATTATCCAAGGTTTGAATCTGCCGCGCACGTCTTTATATCAATATATAAGCCAACTCTACTGTCACTTCTCAAGATAAAATGCTTCACATATTGTACTACCTCTTCTACAAATACTCTAAATTTTTGATTTTTAATTCTCGAAGCCTCTAATATCTAATCATTCACTTCTGTTATCGGGTTGGATATTATTATCTCCTATTCTCCAACGTTACCGTTCCATCTCAATTTCAAGCAATCTGAAAAATCATCCCTCGACACAAAGTACCCATTGGTTTTTATTCCATATGATACTACCATGACAAGACAAGAAAATCCTACAGTTGTCATTCGTAGGTTCTCATTTACTGGCATTTTCCGTAGGTCGCTTGGCAACCCTCTGCGGCGAGACAGTGAGCAGTAGTGTTTCCGCAGTAGCCCCTGAGATGCGGCTTGTTAGCAAATTATATACTCTCGAACCAGTAACTTGTAAGAGACCAAATACGACTTACGCGACAGAGCAGCAAGATCCTCCCTCAGTAGGGCACCGGTAGCCGTACTGACCAGCCCCTTCGGATCCACAAGTGCCATCAGGCGAAATTGTCTTGCCATCTACGGGATCGACGCAAGCGGCTGTCGCGTTAGAGTATTTGCTCTGGCACCCTACAGTCTTCAGGCAGTATTCATCCGTCGAGCCACAATAGCCATTGGACGAGCAACACTTCTTCTCTCCAGGACACGTGTAGCCTTTCTTATTGCCGGCCTTATCAATGCCACATGTCTCATCCGGTGATACTTCTGACCACACAGCCGTGGCGGCTAGCAGCATGGTGAAAAGAGCTGCTTTGGTGCCGAACATGTTAACGATGGTAAATAGATTGGTTAATTGATCAGGTGTAGCTTTCCTATAATTTTCCAATGTGCCCAGGGTGATAGCTTGGTCTTATATTTCTTATAACTACCCGGATCCATTCTCTGTAGATCTCATCTTTTCGGCAGGATCTCCGTATGCGATAGACTTGGGCCGCGAACGCGCGTACGCATTCCCCGAGCGAAAGACCCAAATGGATGGAATATAGATGCTAAAATTGCTTATCGTCTCGGCGCTCTGGGGTGCGTTGCAGATCTTCAGGGTCAGTTCCCGTAATAGAAACCCGGCTGCGTATTGTATGATTTAGCCGAACTCCCCTTACTTCTGGCTACTTCGGGGTGCAACCAATTGAGCGGCCTAGAACGAACGGCAAGTGTCCTCGGCCACGAGCCGTGCGGCTCTCTATCTCATTCATATTCTACTGGAGATTGTCGGAGTCTTGGGACCAATTTGGATCACGCCATCCCCCGAGGGACGCATCCGAACGCCGGTCTCGTTCACTTAGGCAGAACGCACCTAGGTAACACCAAGACCATTGTCTGACAGGTCATATAGATTAGTCTCCTAATATTGAATGCAATCTCAGTTGTCTGATCTGTAAAGGCTTCTAAACTTGGAAGTTTGGAGGTTTATTCCCTATCGTATAAGACTAATTATTAGTTTTGCTTGTGTGACTGATGCCGCTACCAGAAACGATTAATTAGTACGGTATCTTTTCTCCCCATATGATGACTGTCGATGTCGATGAACCATGGTTATTTTTTAATCGAAGTACCTAAGCCTTTGTAGTCAGTGCTCCAATATCAGTTACCGTGCAATACTATATACTAACTGTAATTGACCAAGGAATAGTGACTTCACGAAAATCCTAAGGGCCTATTCACTTAGTATCGCATATTAAGGCGTTATGAACCCCCCTCGGTGATTCTCGTGGACGGAAACAGAGGTTCAATTCGTAGATTTCATTGCGGTCAAAGTCTTTCGACGTTTCTCCTTAATGCCCAGGCCCCATTCGTGTGCTTCCTGGGCGATTTCTAGAGCCGCCATCTCAATCTGCTTTGCTCGGGAAAGTGCATCTTCTTTTCCGTCCCCCTTTATCGACTTTAGCTTCTTGTCTACTAGGTCGAGTACTTCTAGATGAACTAAATTTGAGGCGAAGGATCTCTTGATTTGACTAGGTGTTGGCGTTCTAGAAGGCTGATTCCGTCTAGATGAGATCTGCGCGTCGCACTGCCGTCCATCGTACAGACAGTTGCTGCATATTGACCTAAGCCCACCGAGGCTTTCTAGTGGTTCCTTGGCTTCTTCGTCGGGATCCATAACGATGCATTCGGGCGATATTCCCTGACGTTTCTGGCAATGCGTACATTGGAACTGTCGAGAAAGTATCATGCCCCTCTCGTATAGCATAATACCTTCAACTATCCGCGTCGATCCTAGGTCGGGATGCTCTCGGCTATTAAGACGCCTCCACGCTCTTCGAATTGGATGCCTTCCAAGCAGTCGAATACCGGGCGTCTTAGCGAATCCCGACGGAGGCAAGCAAACTGGATCGTAGACGTAATCCCAAACAGCAGGTGCCTTCGTTGCTTCGGTGAGATCTTGTTCAATAATATCCATAGCTTCCCAATATCTATCCCTCATCTCGTAACCCTCTATGCTCTCCGACCGTCGTCTCCGCCGCCTCCGTAAATGTCTCGCGGGAAAGTCTGCATGTGCGTGCTCGTCTTGAGTTTCTAGTTGTGGCTTGAATTCAGACGGATGATCGAGGACGTGCCTCTCTGGGAACGTATCGTCGACCTCGGGATCGTTAAGTGTCATACGAGCCATATTACTCTCATAAGCCATGTTGAATATCATTAAAGATAGAGTAAGAGGATGAAAAACATCAGGGCGACCACAAGTATTAATGGCGCTGGAGGCAAAAACTGGACCAGTCGAGAAGCACGCACCATATTTTCGGTATTACATTAGGTAGTTAAACATCGTAGCTATTCGCAGCTCATCTTAGTTGATGGATCCTTAATTTTTACTATGTAAGTATTAGGTAGCTGCTGGGCTTTTGTCAACCGAACTCGGTCTGTCGGATCCCCCCTGTAAGGGTTGACGCCACTCGCCTGCGTTCCACTTGTACTTCTCGTGACCTCGGAAAATTAGCCTCAGGATATTTCCATTCAGGAATTCATCCTATTTGCATTGTTTTGAAATTGTCGGATGTGCTTTGGGCCTATTTGCGGCTTAGAGTCTAGAGGTGAGTATTGACCTCGGTACCAATACTATCCTACCTCTTCACGGTAGATTATGTCAACTATGCGGTAGTTAGGGGAAGCATCTATAGTATGTATTTGAGTAAGCGAAACCCCCACGATCAAAGCGGGAATAGCTCTATGTGGGGAGCGAAGACTTTTGAAGTTGGAGGAGTTCTTGAAAGTTGGACGCTAGAAGATGGACACGGCGAAAAAGCATGGAGGGCCTCTCTTGTGGAGTGAACCGGAGGCGTTCCGCTGCCAACTTAGGATCTAGCCACCCTATTCACCGTATACATAGTTTTAGTCTTGGTGTAGTTCCGGTAGCTCTGTGGAGATGTGGAGTTGAGATTTCGGGGCTATTCATTTCCCATGACCTGACACCTGACAACTCGACTTTACAAGAAGGGAATAGCGGGCTCGGTGCGAGGAGGTCGCTCCGCAAGCTGTAGAGAACCCCATACATTTTTCTGTCCACATAATTTCCATCCAACTTTCCTTTAACGTGGGGGTTTCTGGTTTGTGCTATGCATGTACATATCACCTATGTTTGATACTTTTGGTTTATCACAACAGCTCTCGGTGAAAACTGATGTTTTAGCATATAGTCCTTATCAAAGAATCAACAATTATGCGAATGAAAATAATAATACGTTACAGACTATGACTTTTATTTTTATTTTTTATTCTTTTATTGCTATAATAACTTGGCCACAAATTGAGTGCCAATGTGACCATACATAAAATGACAATAATGACACTTTATATCCTTATAACTTCACCAATTTCAAACCTGTGAAACTTTTTAGAACGTTCTTCAACCATAAACGGTAGAATATTCAAGGGCCCAATTTTCCCAATTTTCCAAAACGACTATTTCGAATATAATACATCATGTTGAATCTAAAGGGGAATTCCAACCCTCGTTTCTGTACAATTGCGAGATAGGCCTACTGGAACTAAAGGGTAAGGCCTTCTCCTGGAATACGGCATAGAGCGAACGAGGCTTATGCATCCCCGTGTCCTAAAATGGAAGGTACAGGGGCTCAATGGCCAATTAGAGACTTTGATTTAGAAAGCCCAATTCAATACAGAAGAGAAGAATATATAATTATTCGCAAACTTAATTCGTCTTTGATGTCTTATAACTATCTACACGCCATCCTCGAGATCAAGAAGTACCGGATATACTTGAAATCAAGTTATAGGAACCTGATCAGGATGGGAGGCTTGCACAAATTTCCGACGCTGCTCCACCCCCTTACTCAGAAGTCGACCTCTATCTCGAAGCCAGTTTTAACGCGCTCATCGAGGCCTCAGCCCAACCGACCTCAGGAGAATTTAACGTCTGATATTCGTATTTCGCTTGGAAGAAGCCTCTGGATAGCCTTGCCTGGTGGAATATGAAAATGAGACAAGTTCGAGATATGTTTTCTACGATCTAAAACGAGCTGTCTATGATATAAAAACATGGCTCTTGGTAGGTCCAGCCATTTGAAACATGTAGGAATGTGCTTTCTGAACCATCTCTCATCTTGCAAGGCTTTGACATGCTTTTTTTTATCTTTTTTTTTTATCTTTTTTATCTCGGCGATAGCTTCGGGGTTTGGTAACCTACAATACTTAACCACTATAGACACACTTTTGCAAACGACTAGAAATACCGGTGAAATACGGAAAGGCATAATGATAGCCGTAGTCTGTGTAAGTTATACCTGATTAGTTGGTGGGCATATAAAAATCATATTTGCTGACGTGGCAGCAGTTTCTTTTTCCTTGTTCGGAGGGTTTGTGCTGACCTAGCCAAACGTCGGGATCGGATCATTCAGTGTTCTTTATTCGCTGTCATATTAATTAACATGTTGTATTTCCTATTATTGACTTATATTCCCGGCATACTTACATTTAAAATGGTAGTAAAGCTTCTCTTCACGGCACTTATCTTTGGCCTCCTAACCGCCTCTTCCATCATATCCGTTACCTTGACTTAGGTGAACTGCATATCATGGAACTGATCAAAATGAGCAGCATGCATCGTAGACTTATATATTAATTTCACAAGATTTCAGGTTGAAGTAATTCTTGTCTCATTATGAAACCGCGCTGCATGATTCGTCGGCTACACAGTCCGTAGCTCTAAGGTCTGCCAAGGTGTTCCTCGGCCAAGGCTTAATTGGCTTGGTTTTAATAGCTCTAAATACTTGGTCACCGTAATGGATGAAATGTGTCTTCTATAAACTATATACTGCCAAATAATCATATGTAGAGAGTTTTTGATATGGACTACATTGGTAAGAGAATGGCAGAGCAAGCTAGGTGGTTGCATACGCGCTGATAGCTGAAAACAACGCTCGAAATTAGGCACGAGTTTTAATAAAATCGTAAGGGCATTTTGTATGATTGAAGTTGCTAACCATGCACGACCGCGATATCATAATAAAAGTAGTCCCGCTATATGGGTTTATTAATTCAATTACGACACCATACATCGTCAGGACGATGGGTATCTCTAGAAACTCTCAAGAGATAGATATTGCCATTCATCGTTCTACTTGGTTTTACCACGGTTAGGTACTCGTCGACATATTGGAGCAGCTAGATAAACGAGGTAAAAACTGGAATAGTAGGCCTGCCCTCGTACTCACAAATGCAAGAATTGCAGCTGGCGAGCGGAGTTGCGGGTAAACGCAGCAAACGCAACTGTGACAGCGTGGTATAATGTCTAGCAAGGTGCTAGGCGAGATAGACCTCAACTACATAGGTACTCTTGCCGTAAGTAACCCCCAATGCGCGCCAAATGCGTGGTCTCCGTGTTAATAGTATCGAAATAGCACTCTTTATGTGCACTCCTAGCTGTATTTTACATCCTGCGAAATGTTAGAACATGGCCTCCAGCGCTGTATTGGGATAAGCTTACCTCTGAAGAGGACTTAATCCGAGTAATCGCATGCAGTTTCCTACTACTATCCGGGCGGCATCATACAATGCCATACGGGCTGCCTTCAGCTCAGGATCGCTACCGACTACTTGCAAGTGGTCATAGCTGCTACTGATAACGTGTGTGAGCCTGAAGAGATACGTTACCACCGTAGTCGGCTCCAAGGTCCGTAGCGTGTTCTGGGCTACGTCCGGCCATTGGGCAAGTAGTCGGACCACGTTGACGGCATGAGGTTCTGTAAGGAGCGATAGATCCGCATTGGCTAACTCCTCGTCCGAGACGTCTGCTCGACGCTTGATAGACGAAAGTCGAGTGTGCGCGTATTGCAAGTAAGGCCCGGTGTCTCCCTCGAAAGACGTCATCACTGCCAGATCGAAGGTATAATTATTACCCCTAGCCACCGATTTTGTTAGCTCTCGTCATGCTAACAGGTCGACTCAATAACGTACCTCTTCCCGCTCATATCCTGCGTCATTACGCTGCTGATTCCGAGTGTATCAGCGGTGCCTTCGGGATCTTCTACTTGGGAATATTTGGCCTCGTTTTTCCGCATGACTTCGTGCATGTGATCAGCACAGTCGCGCAAAATATCGTCCAAGCTGCGAAAGTTTAGGGTTAGCTAGGCGTCAAGAAGCTGAGTTGAAGACGTACAATTTGACGGTTCCTTTTCGGGTACTCATGCCCAGGACCAGTCCGAAATTTATGTGTTGGCAACGAGCTGCAACGTCCTTGTAGCCGAGGAGTTCGATGATCTTGAAGAGTTGCTGAAGATGAAGATCCTGCTGACTAGCAACGACGTAGATCATATGATCAAATTTGTACTTCTCGTATCGACCTAGAAGCTCTGCAATATCTCGGGTGAGATATAAAGCAGTCCCATCCCTCTTCCTGATAACTGTCCGCCCGAGCCGCTTACCTTCTTTACCTGGTATGAGCTCTGTAAAGTCGACGAGCACGGCGCCCTGGTCTTCTCGGGTAATTCCCTTTTCGGCCATTTCCTTGGCTACTTTTTCCATCGCCTCTTCGGTGACCTGACTCTCGCCGCTATATTCGTCGAACTTGATGTTCAGCCTAGCGTACGTAGCTTTGTATCGGACAATGCTCAAATCTCTGAAGCGCTTCCATAATGCGAGGGCTTCTTCGTCTCGGTCCGTCATCTTGCGGAAATATCCTCGAGCTTGCTCGTCCAAGCTGTTAGCCAAGAGTTCTGTAACATCCTGGCCTTCTTTCTTCTTGGCCTCGATGGTTGCCAACTCCTCTTCTTTTTCGGCATTTATGCGAACGTAGAGTCGAAAGAGGTGATCAATAGGGTCCTTTTTTAGTGCTTCCTCGTCTCCATACCTCTCGTAAGCTAGAGCTAAGAGACCGTACTGTTTCCCCCAATCGCCGAGATAGTTGATCCTGACAACATCCCAACCGGCACCCTCGTATAGGTTTGCGAGAAAACTTCCGATGATGGTGGAACGAAGATGTCCCGCATGGAATGGCTTGGCAATGTTAGGGGAACTAAACTCGACGACGATCCGCTTCTTTCCTTTGCTCGGGTCCTTGGGGTCTTTTAGTCCGAGAAAACGATTTCGGCCGTATTCCGCACCGAGGTTGCGGATCATAGGAATAAGAAACTGCGTTAGAGGGGCGCCCTTGGCGAAGAAGGAGAGAAATGGGCCAGCAGCGACGGGTTTCTCGAAAAGGGGATCATCTTCGGGGAACTACGGAGAGAAGTAGTTAGCAGCGTACGCTGATATATCTCCAAGCGACTCTTACCTTGGCTGCCCACTCGGTCCCCAATGCGTCCGGCTTTGCGCCCTTTATGCGGAGGGCGGGGATGGGTAAGGTGAAGTCTCCCTTGTCAAGGGAGTTTGTCCATTGGATGACGGAGTGAATCTTATCGGAGGCTACGCCTGTGATAGGGGCGAGGACTTCGCTGATATGTACTCGGTAGAAATCATAAGGATTGACATTGGGATGTGTCGTGGGGTATTTCTCAGAGATAGACTCGAGTGTTAGGTTATCTAGCTTTAAGAGAGTCTCATTTATTTTGCTGACGGAGGCCATATTGCGAGCGGCGCGTCTCTGAAAGGTGAACAATTGTTGTCGATTGGATTTAGTAGAGTGGTAGTGACGAAGAGGGATAGTAGATAATTGCCGATATCGATGTCGAAGTGGCCAAACTGTGCGAACAATGATAGTTCTAGTGTGAGGAGAGGTCATGAAGATGCGAGTTGGAATTTAGAACCTCGATTTAGAGCCTCAGTTTAGAATTATACATAGAGCAAGTTTTAAACTCATTTAAGAAATTGTTGTTTAACCCATTGGAATTTTCCCCTCTACCCCTCCCCCCACCTACGCGACGCGCCTTTTCATTGGCTTTGCGCCAATGCAAAGGTTATGTACCTAGGTACCTAAGTACATGTACCTTGAATGCTGCTTAGGTACCTATACATAGCAGTCTTTCTTAACAGGTTTTGGATACCTACGTCTTATGAGCGCGAGGAATCATATGCACTAAAGCCGAGGGAGCTTCGTTTTTAAATACACGTTCAAGCATCAAAGACTACCAAAAGTCTTTTCCTAACGAAGAGCCTTGGACCATATTGCCGTAGCTCGACAACTAAGTCATATACCATTTAACTATCTCTCGCTCAACTTTAACCAACTATTCAGTAGGAAGGCCACAGCTGGTGAGACTATATTCGATACAGGAGATCATATTTGTATCACAATTAAAAGATGATACCAGCGAGTCTGAGCCTCCTAAAAGCTTCCTCCCATGAATGAGCCGGAAACTGTTGTTCAAGGAAGCCGGCAGATCGGAGCTTATTAGCGCTTAGCTCTCGGTCGAAATTTAGCCAGTACCCGACGGTATCAAGCTGTTTGCTGCCAGCACCGACTCCGGCCGTGACACCCTTTGGATGCCCATGTTCCTCGAAGAGATGCTTGTGTTTTGCGATGTATTCGCTCGGAGTGAGCGAGGAGTCCTCATCTCCAGAAGGGCCAACGCCTACCAGGCCGAACCAACCCGTAATCTCTGGCCACAGCTCGCGGAATGTTGTAGGAGTCGGATCATCGAGCGTATTGATGACCTGTCTACCGAGCTTGTCTGGGTTGAGCGATGCGAAAATGCTGATCCGTCCCAAAATGCGAGCAGAGACCTGGGTAAACCGGGCGTCGAAGCCAGCCTTGCTCCCAGGAAAGGAAATCTCTACCCTTTTCTCAGCATTTGAGCCCGAGATACCGTGATTGAAGGCATATAACGAGAGATATTGCGCCCAGTGGAGTGCGAGTGAGTAACCGGAGCCTATCGGGCTGAAGCCAACGACGACATCAGGGCAGACTTCCGTCCAGGTCCATCCGTGGCCAATTGCGGCCTCGGTGAGTATCTCCCTAAACCATGGATATGCGACAATTTTAGCGCAATCCTCGGGAAGCTGGCTGGTCATGTGTTCCTCGAGAGGAGTTTTGAAATTGATGCTCGGGTTATAGATGCCATATCCCTTTGTCACATTAGTATCAGTTCGCAAACTCGTTCAATAAAGCCCAGGTACTTACCCGGGTGCCCCCTGAGTAAACGAAAGACTGAAGGCTGAGACAGAGCATATTTACGGCTGTTGCCACCTTTTGCATTAAACCGCAGTTTAATGCACGCTCTTGTTCAAAATCATTTAAAAAAGAAGTAAAGACTGTCTTCAGTCAGCGATTATAGCTGCGGTAATATTGGTGTGTAGGTGCTACGAACCAAAGTAGAAGACATGAGTGACGCCCTGGATGCCTGGTACCCTCTTTTCTAGAGTAGCCGCGAGGTCTTCGCCAGTTCCGTTCAAGAGGTCAACTCCTGAGCATATCTGAAGTTCAGGTAAGCCTGGCAATGCCTCTGGCCAGTACGTATCTTCCGACTTGAGCAAACGGTTGGTGACTGCGGTGACTCTGTTGAACACCCCCTGTTCAGGATAACCCGAGAGCAATTCGTTGACGACGCCCCAACCAATAAGGCCAGTACCTCCGAAAACAAGGCCGTGTCCATCCGACTTTGCCATGCTTCACTCGATTTAAGTATTATCTCAAAACGGGAGATAGGTTGGATCATGAGAGGTTCAAGAGAAACCTTCATCAATTCATCATGTCTACTTACTCTCGATTCCTACTATCAAAGTCTCTTATGTTAAGCTCGAGTTTATAGCGGTAAATAATAGAAGGCCGAGAGCTGCTTAAAACTAGACGCTACAGTCCTTCGACAAACTTCACAAGCGTATATGCGAATGCACATCATTCTAAGTCATTATGAATCATAATGGATTAAATAAGAGCCTGAGAATAAACCGGCGCTATCCCACTTAGCCTTAGCTTTTCAGGTAATTATCACAAATATGCCATCCAGAATAAGGGGGGGAAAGCACATTTAGCATCCCATCATCAGGTCTCAGATACGGTTGAGTAAAGTGGCTACTGCCAAACCTTTAAAATATCACGAATTTACAAAGGATTATTATGTCGAATATTTTTCTTAACGAGGTAAGTATCCGACCACGCGAAACCCACTTTCAACTTTTAAAGCCACCTGCAAACATCTCTTTAGAATGGGTTGAAGAATGTGTATGGAGATAATTGCGATAATTCATATACCTTTCCGGGTCAATCACACCGGCGTACTTGGGCCCTAGCCAGACAAAATAATAGACATCTAACTTGGCGACCAGCCTGCCTTAAAAATTAATGGCCGGGTCCTGGCATTTGAACACTTGATATTAACATATATATAATTTGACCAATTTTAAAGGATAAAAATTACAAAAAGTACATACGACAGTTAAAATGGCTAAATAACCTGTAAATACTTTTTTATGTTTCTTATTTCGTATTGCAATGCTTTGTTTGCATATAATATATGGTGTTGTTTTTAAAGGAAAATGCCAAGACCCGGCCATTAATTTTCGAGGCAGGCTGGCGACTGATCATCCTGGTAAAAATCTGGCTCTTTACAGCTTTCCGTAGAGACTGTACCTATAGTATGTTATGGCAGCAAATTGGGTGTAGTCATGCTCGCAACAACTTACGCGAAAAAAGGCAGAGTCAAATCAAACTTGAGAAGTACTATAGTAAAGTACTACACTTTCGATTGCCACGCTTTATTTTTATATGATATGAAGCCTGATTGGTTCAACTATAAGGGGTTTCGTAGAGCGCGTACGAACCGTTGGCTAAACTCTGTCCTTTAGGTACCTAGATAAAGGATCACATTAGGGAGATAAAGCTCGTAACGAAATGAAGCCTTCTAAACTAATCCAGAGACAGTAGTGCAGATAGATATATCGGAAATCATATTACATGGCCTCATAGCTTTTACTTTTCTTTATGTAGTTAGCATAAGGTAGATTGGTAACTTGGTAACTTATGAGTTGTCAGGATAAGATGTAGGATGAGATACCTAAGGTATGTACAGTACAGATCAATTAGGCTCAGCATTGGCGGTACGTGCACGGTCCATTTCCTAATGAGTATAGCACATAGGTAGACTTCTGAAGCTTGTGTTGGAAAGTACTTCTTCTATAGTCAAGAAAGCCCCTTTCCTATAAGTATCTAATAACAATTAAAACCCCGGGTCCCAACGTCAGTTCCCAGGGCCAGCAACTTCTTCGTCATTCCACATGCAGTGACAAAAAAGTCGCGGTTCCACCATTCTGTTGCCGCGCTACTTCAAGTCTTTTGAAAGCTTTCAGAAAGCTTCTTAATAGACTTACCAAGTCATCACCCACTCCAGACCTCGAGCTGTTCCCATCTCTAAAGCTCCCGCGCCACCAACTTTCTGTTCTCTTCGCATCTTCGCGTCTACTTCATCCCCATGATGTCGAGCATCCTTAACAATATATTCGCCAAGTCGTCACCCGCGCCCAAATCGGTAAACGGCGACAAGGAATCGCGTGGCACCAAGCGAAAGGCTAAGAGCGACCCTTATGATGAGATAGACGATGGTAAGAAGACGGCGATATAATAATCGCTTATTCGGAAGCCTTGCTCTTTGTCTATCATAGTATTAATCCAAGCAAACAGACGAACCAATCCAAAAGACGCCTTCGACTCAGCGCACTCGATCGCGCATTTCTTCAGAAGCACCAAACTCTAGCACAAAAGCACGACCGTCATCGGCAAGCAAGACTAACAGTACGTCTAGAAGGTCAGCTATCGTCCATCGGATCGTAACTAACATGTATTATAGAGCGCCGAAGCCGTTCGTCGGGTACTCGAAGAGGCGAAGTAGCAGATAGCCTACGCGTCGACGCCGCAGCAAATTTAGCCCGCGCACAAGAGCCCGAAGCGGCACGATTACATCCTCAGCCTGAAGAAGAGTCCAGTAAAAACTCACTCGTCCCGGTGGCTAATATGGGCGTCCCTGGTACGCATGTATTTTTTTTTTTTTTTTTTTTTTTTTGCATCTTCACCATATGACCCTTCCGAGTTCCAAGCTAATGATTCCCGCGCCTCGTAGAACCTTCTAATGACAAGCCCGAGTCTGCCGATAACAACCACGTCGGAAATGATACAAAGGGTAAAGAGAAGGCGACGGAAGTGAGCCGGACAGATCAGACGCTAACCGAAGCCGATGAACGCGAAGAAAAAGAAGTTCAGGCCCTTCTTCAGCACAGAATGGCCCAGGACGGCAGTGTCGAGCTCCTAGTCCACTGGGCTGGAGAGAGCAAGGATGATGCTACTTGGGAGGCTGAGGAAGAAATTCAACAAGGCGCAGAAGAGACGCTATACGCATACTGGAAAGCCCAAGGCGGTCGCATCAATGCCCTCTTCATTAAACCTAAAAACGCTCCCATCGAGACCTACCACGTCTTTAAGCTGCTCGGTCACGAAAAGAAAGTTAGAGGCGGGTTCGAATTCGAAGTTCAATGGGTCGGTCATCCGCCCACGCGGGGCGAGACATCGTTCGAAGCCGAATCCAAGCTGAAAAAGATTGCCCCAGAGGCTCTGGATCAATACTGGAAGGATGTCGGCGGTCGCGAGAAATTCCTTGCTAGGCGTGGCCGGGGTAAGAAGCAGCGCACCGAGTAGCCGCGTTTCCCCTGGCGGAGCTGACCTATTTGCCATTATTATCTGTACATACGTCCTCTTTCCTTTATTTCGTCTCGCAAGCATTCATAATGCCCGGCATTGCATCACACGGCGTTAAGGATGGATCGTGATATGGTATGTTATCAAGTTTCAGGATAGGAACAAGCATTTAAGGTGCTTGGAAGATACTAGGATTTTCTTCGTATCAAGCCCAATCGTCACGCTCTTCTAGCTTAGGTGAAGCGAATAGACACATACTTACCTTTTATCATATATGTACGTATTCATATAATACAATGAACTGGGCTATCTACTTAGTTGATTTAACCCTTTTCATTATTCATTAATTATAATTAACGCGTAGTTATACACAGGAATTAGGAATGGGCTAACTAGATACTCTTCTGCCAAGCAGCTGGTGTAAGACTATCGGTTCGCCAGCATCACTTCACAAGCAATAAGTTTGCCAGTCAGCAGTTAGATAGCCTTTAGCAAGAATATAGCACCTGCATCATATCGCCATATCGTATATGAATTTCAATCGCTTGGTTTGAATAATAGAACGCGCCACACAGCCCCGGGTCGTATATTCCACCCCTTCATGCTGCTTCGCCGTAGTAGTCGGTTGCCCGAGGAGGCCGAGCGGGCCGAACCCGTCATGACATGCGATATAAATAGGTACTCGGCGACGGTCTAAACTGAAGCTTTCGTACGTGTCTATAATATCTCGTGGTCGACATTTAAACCGTTTTAGCTCTACAGTAGATATTTCAACTATCATCTTTCACATATTTGTATTCCCCGCCGCACCTATCACGACATTCCGCTTCCGAAGTACTACATTAGAAGTGTAAACTTTCGCTATTAGAACAACCCGGTCCTAAAATTGATGGGCGACGATGGGCGACATAAAGAAGAATGGCCAGCTGGCGAGAATAAAAGACGAGGCAAAAGTCGTTAGACCCCTCGGATATTTGTATGTACAATTACTTCCATGCCATTCGGTCTCAGAACCAAGTCCAATGGAAATATCAACGCAGAGAACGCTTCGAGGCAGCCATGCTCTCGCTGGACCTTTACCGGAGCTCTATGCTCACATGCAGGTTTGCGGTGCCTGCAACCCTCCTTCCAGTAGAGTCGTATACAAAATTGCAGCAGACAGTTGAGTCGGCTATCTCCCGGATCCTGCTAGAACACCCTCTTCTACGTGTTGGTTTACGAGGTGAACACAGTCGTATGCCCGCTTTCGTCGAGCTAGATGCAGTCGACTTTTCCCGTCACATCGAATGGCGCCATCTCGACGGCGGCAAGGACTATGATATCGAACTTGAAGCTCTTATCAAGAGACGTCTCAATATCAAGGTGGAACAGCCCGAGACAGCACCAGCATGGCGTATTCTTATATTAAGCATTGAGAGCGGGGGATTCATCGACATCATATGGGAATGGGGTCACTCTCACGCTGACGGTATTAGCGCAAAGACATTTCACGAAGATATGCTGCGGCATCTAAATGGCAATAATAATTCGGTGCCCGAAGAATTTAACCCGGAAACTCGTATTCTCACAATACCTCTTGCCCGGCAAAGAGACTTACTACCGTCACTTCACTCATTATGCGACTTCCCCGTCGGAATAGGATTCACGCTGGCCACACTGTGGAATGAGTTCAAGCCGGCAGTGCTGCAGGCCAAATCCAAAGTGGAGTTGCGCGCGGCCTGGGCGCCCCTCCGGCCTGGGCATTACGCGTCGGAGTACCGACACTTTGGCATATCTCATATCGCTCTACAAAATATCATAACAGCATGCCGCGTTCACCGTACTACTCTGACAGGCCTACTACAGGCGCTCGCGCATGCCAGTCTCGCATGCAGATTATCGGACGAGCAAGCGCGCGCGTTCCGAGGGTCTACAATCGTAAATTGGCGTCCGCTGATGAGGCGAGCGTTGAATGAGAAGGCAAAGGCCGAGGTGAGAGATGTAGATCTCGTACGGACTATGGGAAATTACATGACGACGGTAGATCATGTGTTCGATGAGGAATGGGTTACGAAGATCAGGACGGCGAGTGTTATTAACGATTCTTCTCACCGGGCACTTAAACATTCGGAAGATAAAAGATGCGAGCCCGAAGAGTATTTCAAGGATCAAGAAATGGTCGAGCGTCGTATGCTCGCTCTCCAATCCTTAATATGGCCCGTCGCGAAAACGGTGCGTGGCGACTTAGTAAAGAGACTAGACGAGGGAACCAAGAACGACCAGATGGGTCTAATGAAGTTCATCTCCGACTTTCGCGCGTTGCTGAAAGAGCGGTTGGAGAAGCCAAGATCCCACTCAGTCGCCGTGTCTAATATAGGAGTTATCGATGGTAAAGCCCCTTCGTCTTTAAGCGACATTAAAAATTCTGTAGAAGGCGCCTCGGATGCTTTTACGGGGGCAAATTCCAGGTGGTCCATCGATAAGTCGATATTCTCCATCAGCTCCGAAGTTCATGGCGCAGCGCTCGGAGCTTGCCTTGTCGCGGCGAAAGATGGAGAACTATATGTGTCCTGCGGCTGGCAGGAGAATGCCGTATCTACGGACCTGGGGGGAGGATTAACGGGCGGACTTGGAGTCGTGGCTAAAGTTCTTCGGACGGGATCAGGCCCAATGAGTATTGCCCCCCGTTTCGCGGTCCCCATCTAGCCATAAGTCTTGTTTCCACGAGCTATAATATGTGGATTATATGACTCGACGGGTTAGAACCTAGCTTGATGCCCTATAAGACACAAATAACGTACTGTATTTAACCATGAAGTCTTGTAGCACAATGAGTCATGCTAATTGAAACGTTTTGCTGTCGAAGCTTCCCAAATAAATGCGTTGAAAACTCAAGCCAATAGCTTAGGTCCTAGATGCCTCCGGTGGCCCCTGTCGGGGAGACTGCTCGCTCTCGAAAGGGAAGCAAAATGAGACTATCGTGTATTGTATGTGAGGTTAGACCAAACGCCCTCTTGGTCTCATCATTAATATCTCTTTCGACGGTGCCCAGTAACTGACTCCTTAGTAAGACTAGAGCAACATTTATGTAAGTCGAACTACATCATATTTAAACAATTTCTCCTGCTCCTCGGTCTGTGTCAAGATTCCATATAGCGCAACGTTGTGCTGAGTATAACTTATTTGCTACCCGGCTCTATATTCATCCTGTCTTTGAAACTGGGTTGGCACCGAAGCCAAAGTGTACCCCGACGTAGATAACGTTTACCTTGGACTTGGGAATTCTCATAGACATTTATGATACTTCGAGAAGCAGAGTTAGGCCTGCTGACCAAAGATCCCCGCAGGTATCATTGTATGATGTAAGATAAGTACAAGCTACTATCACACACATACACAGCCTGCTTAATCCGGCTTCTTCCTATGCATTATCCCATGATACTGTTCGAAATCACACCGAAACGTTATCAAATATCCGAGGAATATATTACGTCAGAAACCTACCTCAGTTGAATACTACCAACCCTATTGTCTTGCCCATGCTTTCTCGAGTATTACTGACGGTTCTTTTCAGATATTCATAATATTCTCCTGTTCAAAGAAACTGTAACTCCTAGGTGACTAGTAAATTATGCTAAAATTGCCTATACTGAATTGCGATAAGGCGGGATGACATACGTATTCACAAAATACGACCAATACTGACAACGTGGGAGGACTACGACGAGGTAATTTGGGGTATCACATTACGTCCCGACGGAATCCGCCTTACAAATACCACACCAGTCGTGCAGTCTGCGGGATAGCCTGCTTAAACCCTGGAAGATTATGCATATTATACAATTCGTAGAATGGAGAGTAGAGGAGTTCGTCGGTGGCAAGGAGCTTCTAAGAGTCGCGAACCGCGGATGGCGAATGATAGAAGAATGAGGATCTGCGATGTAACTGTAACGCATTGCAGCTGTCTGTCGTGCAGCCCACCCGAACCATTACACACACAGCTTATGTACACGCAGGGTAACAAGCTCACGTCCTAGACTGGGCCCCGGATGTGGGAGCTCGAATGAAAATTAGCTCAGACAGTGGGAGGCACGCTCGTCGGCATTACAAAGCCGTTGCGAATCAAGCCACTACGCAGAGAGGATATGCGATATCATGGGTAGACCAGGAGGAGACTCTTCGAAACATGGCTCTTATCATATAGAAGTAGCCTAGAGAGCTACTTAAAAGTCTTTGATTTCTAGAAGAGCAAAGAGTGTCTCAGCTTAATCTCATGTACTACCAAAAGGAAAGAGGTTAGATACAAAGAGAACCCTGATCCATAGGCTGACAATAACGCACAAACCTCTCAAATTGTCTAGGTTAGCTATTAAGTAAAGAAACAACTAACTGATTCTTTGAAGCTTATCACATAAACGCCCCGTTTATATCCAGAAATGTAACTTCTTTTTGCGCGACTTGTGCGTGGTATACCCCTACACACATCATACACATGCGTCATCTGATTGGAAACTAGCTGATTGGCAACTCGAGATCCCGGTTAAATCAAGCTAGCTAAAAATTAGCTTCCGTTTTAGGATTGTTGGAAAACTAGGTTGGGGGGGTTGTGGTGGTGTGGTGAGACAGGGCGACATCGCGCTGAAAAAGCGCAAACCCCGCACAAACGGCGCATCGTCAGTTTGCATTCCTTGATTGGCCACTTATCTCTATGCTTACCCTGATTCGGAACATCCATAGACCCACGTCCGGAACACTTATCAACAATATAAAAGGTTGCTACATGTCCCTCTTCTCTATCAACTTTCCACCTACACGCACACATATACTTACGATCAGATCAAGATCAAGCTTAACCAATAATATCACCAAAGCTATTTCAGCACCTTATAAACCAACTACCATTCAAAATGAAGGGCGACTGCGGCTGTGCTGACAACTGTAAGTCATCCACATGGTCTTATCTAACCCCGCTATGCCAACTATCTTCATTTCTAAATAGCAATGCTGACTCTATTCTCCAACAGGCGAATGCGGCACCAGCTGCTCGTGCGGCAAATAAGCGACCATCCATCATCCACAGATGAGTTGAGTTTGCTCCTTCGCCCGATTCCACTTCACTCTTCAACCGCGCCAAGCTACTAGGCGTTTTCGATACTACCTTTAATTTCTCGATGGGTTATAACTTTGAGAGGATTCTTAGACGATTCGAAGAGTTGGTTTATCGAAGAACAATAGGAGAACGTGTGTTATAACTACCAGCTAGCCAATCCTTTCCTCGAAATACTACCTTTTCTGTGGCATGATTTATTTACATTATACGTGAGAGCAGACATGGTGATTGATTGTCTATCTAATATTGCTTCGTACTATTTCAAGTATACGAAACATGTCTTTCATCCTTTCAAGATGAAGACTTGTCTACGTACATCTATCTATCACTTAAACCTTTTACAATATCTTCTACGACATAGGTATCCCGTCTCTGCGGGCTCGTAGTTAAAACCTAAGAAATAATTGTGATTTCAAATGAACCCTAGTCTGATACTATCCCAAGCTTGGTTCTCTGACGTAGACCTAGTGCGCATTAAAATCGTAGTGTCTCATATCCAATAACGACAATTCCCTCGTAACATAATTTTCCGCAATTTAATATCCAACAACGAAGCTTCTCAAACACTACAAGGGGTAACAAGCTAGGATGAGGAGTACTAGAAAGTTACTAGCAAATATTGATCAACTAGGCCAAACCTTTAATATCAAGGAAGACTGCAGATTATCGAGAAGGAAACGGCTGGACTAGGCTGCTCACCAGCATGAGAAGTACACAGCCGAGAATAATAACTGTATAATAGCTGTATTGGATCAAGAGCTGGGGAGAACGAATACGTACTACCATCAACATAGACCATTCATAACTCGAACATTAATCAATGGTCCTAAGGAGTTAAGTTTTCAGACGATACTCGTAATACATTCTCCTTAAGTGATGATATGAGAAAATTTCCGAATAAATACGCAGCAACAGCCGGGTCAATAACATTAGAACCTGCGGCATTCTAGGATTCTGCCAGGATTCCGGGTATACTATCTAAAAACGGTATCCTCGGTGTATATAGCTGGAGCTTATATATTTTATGTAAGGCTGTCGTCTTCTGGCAGGCTGAGCTTAGATATTACTTCTTGAATATCATCCATTTCCTATTTATACATTTGTTTAAGCTACTAGTTAGACAAATACCCATAGAGTTATATATGGGGGGAATGAGGAAGATATCAACTTATAAAATAATAGAGTAAAATATTCAGATCCGAGAGTAGGTACGAATAGAGAAAAACACAAAAGCTTGGCAATATAACATGACTACCTGCGATTGGATTTATTTTGTATTGCTACTCATATTAAAAGAAGGTCTACTTGAGCAAGGTGAAGTAGATAGGCTTATTAGTATTGCCATCAAAGGTTGAAACCCAACTCCTTATTTATACCAAATCATGTTTAATCTTTAAACCTATTTGCAGCTTCTTTTGCAACCCGTTCCTCTCGGATTTGAATTATTCTTTGCATATATCATCCTGCTTTATGTAAGTCTTAATTCAATGCCTCTTTGCATGTCAGGTTTCTCTTATTGTTGGTTGGCGTATTTTGGACTTTGTACCTTCTTTCGTTTCTTCGTGACTGCCCCTAGACGCGTCGCGACCATACAGACGCGAAGGCAAATCGCGTTCCTACCTTGCCCTAAAACTCGAACATCTAATCAGCACTCTTCTCTTTTGTATGTCTTCCCCCGTAACAAATCCCCCATTCACTTTTCTTTCCTTTCCTCCGCAAACCCCTGTCATATTTACGCAGTCCCCTTTCTGTTCAAGGTAAGTCTTTTCCATTTCAGTCTTTAGCCTATGTTTAACCATTTAGTTTCTATTCTCTTCATTCCCACGTACCCTTCTGCAATGAAATACCATTTCATTTCTCTCTGCACGATTTTGTGCGCGAATGCAACAGCTGAAAAAGCTGCCTGCTTTTTCCTGTGTTCCTAACAGCAGCACCCCTATCGACGCGATCAACTGTTCCTTAACCCTTCACTCTACAGCGCAGTCATGTACTAACCGCAACGAACAAGAAACTTTTACAGTTGCCTTCTATCGGGTCCATTTAACTCTCCTTTCTTAACATCTAAGTGTTATTCTCCCACAGAAATACAAACTAGGTCTTGACTAACCATTGCTACTATAGGAGTTTTGGCTAAGTCTCCACGAGCTAGGCATTCAAGTCAGTACTTTACTGCTCAGATCTGCCAGCGTCATTTCTCCGAGACTGCTCGAACCTTGGTTTATTTACAAAAGGTAAGCTACTTATTCTCGCTTTTTATTTTCCATAGATCCAGCCAGTGCGCACCCTTAGCTATTCCAGGTGTTGGCTAGCTATCATGCTGTGCCCCTGGTCTTTATATACTATCTAGTTGACACTTTTGATACTACCTTTTCTTACAGATAACAGCTTTTATCACTTGAGACTTGAAATTCAAAGGCCAAGAAACCCAAGATCTGTGATAGGCCTTTGATTTGTTTCTAATACATTCAACAACTGCACCTTTTTCAGCATATTCCATCTCTATTGGTATCAGTCGATCAGGCATCATGTTTCAAACTACAGACAGCCGTGGGGACCCTGGAAGAGGTAATTTGTTTCTACTTCCTTGCTTCTGCAACGTATCCCCAGTCTCATTTGGGCCGCGGTACTCGCTTGATTGATCAACTAGTGAACTTGGTTATGGTATTCGGGATCTGGGTGGAATTAGGAATCTGAGGCTGAACACTTACGAAGACGTTGTGAAATTTTCTAACAACTATACTAATACTATAGGTCACGGAGAGATCCCTTTTATACAATTAGATTTGCCCAGGACATCAAATTCGCGCCAGGCTCGCATCCTAAACCAAACCCGCAAGATCACCAAAGCTACCACCAGCCGCGCCATTGGCAATCATCACCATAACGACAAAGTTCTACCCCAGGACCCACAGCTGTCACATTCTCACTCTGTTGATCATATCACGCCTAAATACAAAGGGACTTTTACGGATTCGAATGAACAACTTGCAGCTTCCAATAACACAAACAGCCAAAAGACCAAAGGCAGAATTGGCAGCAAGACTAACGGATCAGAGTTCCTAATTCCCAGCTCAAACAAGATGTCTTCAGACAACCATGCTGTCCATGACAGTCAGGCCGCGTCTTAGGGACCTCGCGGTACTACTAGTCAAGCACTTGGCCTACAACTCTCCCCGCGTTCCTCCACCACTTCCGACAATCAGCATCGTCGCCCCTTCGTGAAGGCTCGCGTTTGCGCCTTCTTTCGAAACGGTTACAACTGGGTGGTAGGCACCTTCACCTTCTCCCGTCCCGGTCACAATACCGATGCCGTCCAAATTGTGCTGTACTGCCTGATAGGCGCGGCCACCGTCAGCATCATCGCCAGCGCTAACATGCTCAAGTCCTTCTCGGATAAGCAGACCGAGAACGTGAAGAATGGTATTCTTCTATGGCTGTTTGGCAGCGTTGTCATTCTAGTTCTGATTCTCATCTTTAGTCAGCACCGCGCTGCTGGCATCGAGGAATGGGGACCTAGCCACGGTTTATATACAGAAGCACCGTGGGTCGAGATGGGTAACCGCAACTACCGCCCTCGGGGTCGCCCTCAGCGATCGCAATACCCTGTCCACCCGCAGCCTGTCCGCACTGCTGTTCACCGAATCGAAGGCAGCGTCTACCGCCAGTCAGGAACTTCCATCGAGCAGGGGATGGGTCGACATCGCTGCAACGCCAATCCTCAAGACAATCATCTCGACGGGCGTCTGACCCAATATCCACCTTCTCAGAAGAACCGCAAGGCAGCCATTGATTTCAGGGCACAGGACATTATCGCTCGAGCACAAGTTCGTAACCAAAGCACCTCCTCCTCTTCTGTCGACAGCGGCATCGGTATTGCTCGCAGCAGCTCTTTACACAACGAGGAGGCCGGTAAGCTAGGATCACCCATAGAGTTCGGCACCTGCTCTATGCAGGAGGATTCTGTAGTCACCAACGAGAAACTGTCTCCTATCCCTTACTCCACTTCGGCTGGGTCTGGCTTTACCGACATCAGCTACTTCGGCTCTTCTGAGTCCAGCTCACCTCGCCGTCCCGGACTCCCTCCTCGCGACAGCTGGTGTCTCGAACCTTCTTTCAGCTCTAGCACTCTTGTCACCTACGGCAGCGCCAAGCGAGAATTTACCAAAGCTGGCGTCTTTCCTCCCCGTAGCAGCTCGCTTACCGAATTGTCGTCTGAGGGCACATTCTACAGCGCCGACCGCAAATACGAAGTCGAAACCAACTTCTCGTATCCGTATAGAACTGCCTATAAGGAACTCAGCCCCATCATCGAGCGCGCTAGCGAGGCTCCCTCTTCACCCAAGGAGATAGCTTAGGACGGCCACTCTCTACTTGCACCCTTGGTCGTATATGATAATATGGATCGCTAGTCTAGTAGCGACATGGACATTAGAAGTTCTTGACCATATCGCGATATCTGTTTTTTTCTTCGCGATCAACTTTGAATTACTAGCTCAGCTTTGATGGAACCTCCACCAGACTGTTAATTCTAGTTCCAATTATGTTGTGTTGGAACTACGCCCACATGGTCAGTATTTCCGCATCATTCTCCATCGTTAAGCACGCTGACTGTTTCGCTTAGACTTGAGGTTTAATCACGAGGATACATATTGTATTCCCTCATGAATCAATGTTTGTCAAGAGCTAAACACAAACCTAGCTGTTATTTAGCCTCATTGCAAGGTGGAAGACGAACTTATTTTTGCAGATTGTGGACGAGCAATAATCCGAGCTCTCAGTGTAAGGAACGCTATAGTTTTGATTTTGGCAGTTGAGATACTTGTGTAATATTGTGACCACACGATCCATAGCAGTTGGTTGATAATGAGGAGCTTGCAACGCGAATATCACATTCATTGTGGCTTTCTGATTTCGTGACCGGGCACCTAATAAGTTTAAAGTGTCTCTTATAACATGGAAATCCTATATAGGTTCTTAACTCAAGGGCCTAGGGTCTGGTTCGCTAATAAGGCCCGAGCATATGGACATAGTACATGTATGATAGCAAGACCCAAGATAAAACTACCGGAATTCGCGTATAATACATGCCTTAAATTGCTCGTTCCGCACGAGCACGATTGTCCCTATAACGCTTCTCTTTCGAAACAGCCTTCCGCCGCCTCCTCCAAGAGCGGTTCAGATCACCCCGGCTCTCCCAGAACTGCCTTTGAAAATCACTAGCAGGAGCTTGACCGTCGCTGACAGTATAGGTGGTGTTGGTACTGGTTCCCGCGTGCTCGCCGTTGTCCTCTAGTTCTTCTTCCTCATCATCCTCGGCTATATCGTCCGCAGAGCCCTGTCTCGGCCATAGATTGAACGTTCGACTAGGATGTGCCGTATCCGGAGTCGGCGCGGCGCTCCTCAAGTTTCTATATTCGAAGTCTTGCTTTGTGAATGGAGTCATAGGAGGCTGGCTTGAGGGACCTATGGCGCTCTCGTCTTTTTCGATGTCATCATCGTCTCCATCAAAGAAACTAAAAGGTTGAGCCTCGCTGGGTATTTCAGGGCCTCCCTTAGGTCGCTTATATAATGCTTCGAGGGGGTGCACTTTCGTAGGAGCCGGCGTAACAGGGGGTATCTTAATAGTGAGGCTGGTAGTTGAACCGGAAGATTTCGGCCTCGCGGACCCCGTCTTCAGGATCGATACGGGGCTGGTCAAAATCTGCGTGCCTAGCTCGGGCTTCGTAGGCTGCTCGTCGTCTTCTTCATCGTCCGAGCTATCTACGGCCTGGCTGAGCATCTCGGCATCGTCGGAATCATCAGAAGAGCCACTGCTGCTTGTTGTATCGTCGTCCTCTGCAGAAGTTGCCAGTTCGGAGGGCTTGGACCCTGCCGCTGGTTTGGAAGAATTAACGCTTGGCCTCTTATTTGCGACGGGTTCGACAACGGTTCCGTGCTCGTCCACCCAGCCAACGCCGTCTTCAAAAGACGCAGCCCCTAAGCTTGACTTCTCGGCGTTGCTCTTGAGAAATGAAGGATGCTTCGTCGTCTTCTCAAACTCGTGCATGACCACCTCGCGACCGCTCTTGTGTTTTTTCTTTTTGGACCCGTCGGGATCTTGATTGTCTTTCGACGATATTCTAGTATCTGGAAGTTTCGTCTTGAACAAACATTCCGGCCCATCTGTATATTTTGACTTGGTCTCCCTCTTCTTTTTCTTCCCTTCCTTAGATTTCTTTTCCTTCTTCGTCTTCCGTTTCTCCTCAATCATCTCGCGATCCGAGGTAGTCCACCCGCGCTTAACTTTTCGACCTTCGAGTTCGACTCCGGGCGTCGCGTCAGCTTCGCGCTTCCTCTTTTTTCTGTCCTTCTTGACTTCGCTCTCGCCAGCCGCGCCTGTGGGTTCGGGGATGCGTTCGGGTCTAGCCTTCTCGATACGCATCTTGATTCCTCTCAGGACGGCTCCGTTTAGTTTTCTTTTAATCTTGTCCGCATCGGCCGCGGGTAAATCGACGAACCCGTATTGCTTGTCGGGAAAGGTTTCGATGGTGTGATACGAGATGTTACGCGCTCGAGGTAGGACAGAAGAGGGGACAACGACGCTAAGCAGCGATTCGTCTAATGGCGTGATATGCAATCGAGTATACGGGACGGGGTTGGCTGCGGATATTATCGTGGATTCGGAGGTTTTGAGAATTGTAGCCATAGCTGCGCTACCGTGATGCCATGAAAAAAAGCATCCGTTTGATCAGATCGGGCGGCTAAAAATGCGGCTACAAAAGGTAAAGAACGTAATGCTATCTTATCAGCGTATCGGTGTACCGGTAACTCCATTAGGGTCCACTTTATTTATCTACGTGGATCCTGCATTAGCCTCGGCGTATATCGGTGAGCAACGGTGCGGTTGTTCAAGTTCGGCTCGCGGACTCCGGAGCTTAACTTTCATCTCCCGAACAATCAATACCTCAAATCTCATAATGGCGCAAAAGTTACCCCCGCTGAGATTTGTGAGATCGGTTAGCACTCAGAATCTAATACAAGAATTGCTACTAATTACGCCCGTTTAGGTCTTGAAATCCTTCATGGCCGAGTCCGGCTTGGAGCCGAGGTAAATTGATTCGACGCGCACGATATTTCACACGCCGTTGCTGATGCTCTTTAATAGGCTACTGGGGCCGCACGTACGTTTCATTCGATATGCAGCAACTAATACCCGTCTAAGTCTATTCACGATCACAGTTCAGAGTTACAAACGCCGCCGTAGGGAAGGTTGATTTCGAATTGGATATCACCAAGGACCACACAGTAAGATACGCCTTTCAGACTCATATTTGTTGAATGCCTACTCATAATGTGCGCCCAGAACCGTCTAAAGATCATACACGGCGGCACAATTGCTAGCATGGTAGACCTGGGAGGCTCCCTCGCCGTCGCATCGATGGGGCTTTACGCTACGGGCGTGTCGACAGACCTAAACGGTGAGCTCACGAGCGGGTTTCAACGAATATATAAGTTGAAGCAACGCTGACTTGCCAAGTTACCTACCTGAGTAGCGGTGGTAAGGTTGGTGACAAGATCACCGCCACCGCCGTTTGCGACAAGAGTGAGAAACTTTCTTCTATATAAGCGACAAGGCTAGAACTGATACCTTTGGTAGTGGGTAAGACATTGGCTTATACGTCTGTAACTTTCAGGAACGCCAAAGGCGAACTCGCTGCAAGAGGAAGTCATACAAAGTAAGATGCCATTCCTTTAATAGGTCATATTCATAATCTGCCAGAGCGAGGAGTTTCTAACTTCTTTAGATATGTAACGCATGCTTGGAAGGCCCAGGAAATTCCATTTACACCCCCTGATAATGCAGAGATAGGAGAGGCTTAGATTTGATACTTGCTTTTTACAGCGCGAAACTTGTTCGATATTAATTATACAACTGCCTCTTGACAAATTGGAGCAGCTAGGCCTACGGATGTAACACAGCTACGTTTAAGTAGCTACCTATGTAGTAACATAAATTTACTAGGACTGTTCAAGGCACTTCTCTGCACCCATCCCGCCAATTTTCGGGGAAAGAAGCTGCCTTTTCGTTTCAACGTTTCAATTAGTCCCTTTAAAGGATAGTGCTCTTTTTGGAAGCATGCGGGGATACTGGCAGGCTACGCGCGGCTGGTTGCTGGTGAGGTCTTCAACAAGATGATTAATTAATTGTGCTACGTCGAATACCATAAGCATGGATGTACCGACCTTCAGCGGGCTGATGGACTCGGCTCAAAGGATCGGACGAACGATAGACTGCGTACCATTCAAAGCGCAATGGAGAAGAGTTCAACTTTTCTTAAGCCTTTCAAGTAACTAAAAATTCTAACACTAGACTAATTCCGCTTCAATAAGACTTTCCGAGCCTATTGCGTAGTTATATATCTTCGTTATGTTGAAACCAGCACGCTGAAGTATAGTTGTCAAATCTGTCTCAGTGCGCTCCCTGATGGCGCCAAAAATAAATACTAGCTGGTCTATTGATGTGACCGGTTAAGCGGGATTTCGGCTGGGGACGACGATCTTGTTAACGAGTCATCTAGAATAGCCCGGCTTCAGCGCCGGTTTTAACGGTTGAAGAATCTTAACGCAGTTATTATCACCCTAATCGTGTAGAATAGAGTGTAAGTAGTAGGCACGAGCGTTCTTTACCGGCTGAGAAGTGAAGAAGTCATGCACAGTAGCTTCGAATATGTTTCCTTTTAGAGCATTGGAAACGACATGAGCCTCATCCTGTAATATTAACTTGTTAGGGAGGAGGGGGTTCTTTTCCTTAAGACCATGTAAGTCATGTCCTCTACCGCCACCAACATCGACAAGAAAAACCCCGTCTCCGCTCGGGTCAAATCCTTTCACAAGGCGTTTAGAGATAGTATAGAAGTCCGAATCGACCTAAGAAGGTTTGCTTGCACGGCAGGCCGCCATATAACTGCTGAAGATCTGAAGATAGGGCAGGTTTTAACCTAGCCATGCGAAGAAAGGAAGTTGTGTTTTGTGAGCTGCCTGGAAAGGGCCGTTGGTAAGCTTCGTAAAGAGCGCATAATTAATGCTCTTAAGGCATTTAAGCAATGTACGGAAAGATAAGCCGGTTATGTTGCATTTATAAAGCCATTAAAAATATCTATGTAGGAAGACCAGGGGGTAAATGATTAGGTAAGGATTAGGTGTACACTAATAAGCATACGTTGAAAGGAAAGGTAACACACGGTATTGAAATGAGGCTATCACGATCTGTTGTTGTCTGTTGTTGAGTTGTGTGTGTGTGGGTTAACTTAAAAGGTAAACCCTTTTAGGCTTAGCCCCACGCACGTGGTGGCACGTGACTAGATTACATAATTGGCTATTCCTTATATTTTAATAACATTATATTTTAAAATATATTTTTTACATATTTATTAAAAATAAAAATAAAAATATATTATTTTTATTATTATTTTCTTTATAAAATAATAATTGTAAATTAAATTAATATTAAAATAATTAATTATAAAAATAAATTATAATTATAAATTATTTATTTAATATATTTTTTTAAGTTTTTCTAAATTAAATATATATTAATAAATATATGTTAAAAAGAAAGAAAATATAATATTAAAATAAAATTATTATAATTGTTGGATTGACTATGTATTACGTAATAATATGAAAGGGAATGCAAATAACGATCGTATTTTAATTGGTTGTACTAAGGTAAGAAAGGAGGGGTTCCCCCGAGTGGGGAAAGATATTTATTGTACAAATGCGTGGGCTGTGCGTGGGCGGTGTGTGTGGGCATAACCCTGGTCATGTGACGAGGTCACGTGACCGTTATCTTAATAATTTTTAGGGTTAGGGTTAGGGTTAGGGTTAGGGTTAGGGTTAGGGTTAGGGTTAGGGTTAGGGTTAGGGTTAGGGTTAGGGTTAGGGTTAGGGTTAGG